AACGCATCCAATCCTTCCAGTCCAAAGTCCTTTGAACAATAGTCAATGCTCCATATTATGTCACGAACAAGACCCTACACCATGACCTTACCATCCCATATGTCCATGACATCATCCCATCCAGATTCTCCAACTTTCACCAGAACCTCATTCATCATCCCAATCCTCTAGCGCAATCCCTATCCAGCTCCGAACATCCATACCATCCCCCTCGAAGGTTGAAACGGCAGTGGCCTCGAGATCTTTTGCAAATATGCCTTTGGAGTCCTGGCGATGGCTAGCTTCTCCACTCATGTCCTGAGCGTCTGTGGCTCTAGTGCCCTCTTTCAGTCTCCATTGGCTTCTAATACTAGTGATGCGGCTGGAAAAGTGGCGCTGGGATCTTCCGGAGTCTTGCTTTGCCTTCCACGTGTGGGGGAAAAAGCCTGGATCGGAGATTCTTGGGCGAATGTATATATTGTGTATAGGTATGATTGTGTTTAGAAGTTTTTATTTTATTTTATTTGTTTATTTTATTTTTTTATTTTTATTTAACTTCTTCACCAGTATTATTTATTTACTTCTTATATTTATATTTATTTCTTTATTATTTGTATATATTGTATGAATGAGAACTTTTAGCCCTAATGCTTATAGCTCTCCAGCAGTGGCTGATTGTATTATTATTCAATAAACAGATTATATAACTAAAAAAAAAAATTTTCAAATTATCTCACGACCTTTCTATGAGACATAAGGTAATTTTTTGTTTGGATACTATGGGAATTTTTTTTATGACCTCAGCAGCTAACCCTTGCGACCCATACCTGACAGGCTCTTGTCTCCTTTTATACCTGTATTTATACCTTCAACAGATCTATACTGATCTTGAGTTGACAATAAAATGCAAAATCCAATAAGATCTTTTTTGATCTATTCTGCAATTTAGCACTAAAATAGATCTTTTTGCGATTTTGCTCTAAAACTAATCTTCTCGTTTGAGACAGATTGTAATGTTATCAATAAACAAGTTCAAATAAAAAACAAAAAAAATCTATTTTGTAATTTGGCATAAAAAAGATTTATTCTTGTGTCTTCCTTGAGTTGATTATATAACCAATTTACGCTAAACTAAATATCTAATTATATAAATTTAACGAAGATATCGGCATCGAACCTTTGGGTTCGCTAAGTTTTTTAGTTTTATTATTATAATCATCAATTTAATGAAGAAAAATTGAAATTCCCTTGAAATAGCCAAATATTTTTCTAGAAAGCATTAGCAAGGAATATCCTAGACGAAAAAACAAAACATTTGTGTATTGAGTCAGAGGAAGTGGTTAATTACCTACTTTGATTCCAAGAAAGATTTCGTGTTTACGGACGGCGTTTCATTTGATTATCTTATTTAATGCTTTATAGTTTGCAAGAATACATAACGTGTTCAATTCTCTTTGTTTACATTCTGAAATAAAGGAATAAGGTTCCTCCCAGTTATCAAATCTCCGACAACGTATGTTATATTATATCCCCATCGCTCGCTGTTGACTTATTTGATAATTTTCCGACAAAGACCTGGCTTTATCAACAGGCTGATCGACAGATGTACTACAGGATTGACTTTGCTGCCATCGCTTTCATGGCAAAGGTTACCGACATTCCAAAGAAAAATAACGTTATATGCTTACGAACAGGAACGGACTGATTTATGAAAATCCTTTTTATTATAAATATATAATTATAAGTCTTATAATTATATATTTAAGAAATATTCTTATTTTCTGATAAAATAACAAATATTATTATTTGAGTATTTAATTGTATGCTAATATTATTTTATTTTAATTTGTTTTTCATTCAAATAAATATAATTATTTATTCCACAGTTGTTGATTTCATGTAGTTGAAAATTTTAGTAAATAAAATTTTTAAAAATTATACTTTTATTTGAAATATAGTATAAATCCTCTTATCTTACTTAAATTGTGGAATGTTAGTCTTCGATTTTGAGATAATTTGAATACATTGTTTATTAACATACAAAAAACAATTGGTCATATTTTAATATTATAAAAACTAAATTTAAGCAATGATAATAGTTCAGTATGTGTTCCCTGATTAAAATATTTCTTAGTTTGTAGGCTGGCCAATTCGGCCAGTCGGAGATTGCCGTGGGTCCTCGGAGGGGGCTCAAAAAACATTGTTTTATATTTTTCCAGTATCCAAAAAATAATTGTTTAGCTTTTAATTTCCGTAAATTTTAAAGGTCCCTCTGCAATCCCAACATTAATGTTTTGTACTTCTTTTACTGCCATAGAATGATTGGGGGCCTCCTCTCGAGGATCCCGAAGATCATGGTTTTGTATTTATCTGATATTGTTGAAGGGTAAATTTACAATATATTTAAATTCCTTGACACCACTTGAAATAAAATCAATGAATCATAAGTAGATATTAAATAGGAAACAGTTCTCTGATAAAGAAATAATAAAATGACATCAGAGATATAGTGGGTGACAGTGTAGTAAAAAAATCAAGTATATATATATATATATATATATATATATATATATATATATATATATATATATATATATATATATATAAAATTAAATTTTCGTATTTTTAGTGAATTCTTGAGACAATTCAAGAAAAAAAGTTATAAAGAAAAGAATATTGCTTTGGGGAGCTACCTCACCACGTATACACCTATCGGTTTTAAACGGATCTAAACGTTTTTGAGCCTATTTTGAAGCCTATTTTTTGAAAGGTCATTATATTTCTGACAAAATTGTTGACAAAAAGATCATCTGAATCGGACGTTTTAGCTGTTATAGTATATATTGGCTGTTATAGTATATATCCTACTCAAATGATTTCACGGATCGATTTTTAGGAAAATGAATCTATTTCAATTTTTTTTCTTTATCTAATTTTTTAACATCTAATATTTTTATCTAATGGATACATTTAAAGTTGTATTTTTTATTTGCTTATTTTAAACATATAGAAAAGTCTTTTAAGTGAACACAATAGATTTTTAATTAAAATCATTGGGAACAATATATATTGTCTTTACTCTACAACTCTTTCATTCCACATAATCGGAGGGATGGCGGAGGGTTATCACTATCTTTCTTTATTCTTAATTTTATTTAGTTGTACTTTACAATGTTTATTTCTATAAAACATCTAATTGTAGTTATTTTGTAGCGTTATTCTAAAACTTAAAATACCATATTAATAAATAGCAATAAGCTGATAGTTAACTGCAAGACTCTTGCGCAAGACCAAGACTAAGTGCGCAAGACCAAGACCAAGACCAAGGCTAAATACGCAAGACCAAGACCAAGGTTCGTTGACGCAGGACCAAGACGAGACCGAGGCGGTCTTGGTCTTGCGTTGGGCAACACTAGTTATCTGCAGTTATATTGCATCGTTATTGATCCGATCTATTCATCTGCTTTTTTGCCTTCCACGTGGTCTTTTGCCTACTATTGAGGCATCCCCCCTCCAAAAATTGGAAAAAATATATATAATGTTTTGTCATTGGTCATTTTTTAATTTTAATCATTGGTCCATAATTACTTCATTGAGTGTTCTGAGCTAAATATTTAAACAATCAAAATATGTATTATTTTTAAATTATAACGCATGTACATCAGTACTAAATGTAAGCACCTGTCAAGAGAAAAATTATCTATAAAAGCATTACTGTTCCTGTAAGCACAGATTACATAGGTCTTCCAGAACCGTCTAAACGTCATTTTATATAGTTCCTTTATTTTTCTTCCAGAATAACAAGCGTTTTAAAATAAAATCCAAGCCCTCAAAATTAAATCCTGAATCTGAAACTGGCTTTATCAGCTGCAAGATTGTGGAACACGGGGATGTTGCAGAGGGGCACAGCACGTGTGGAAGTCTGTGACATCTCAACCCTCACTTAAATTTTATTAATTTATTGATAATAATGAAAATGACATGTTAGTTTTTCTCTTACCTTAATTGGTTTTTTTACAAATAAAAATGTTTGTGGTTTAATGAGATCAATAGCGCAACATAATCATAGGTGTAAAAGGCTGGTTCTGATGTCCTAAGATTTACTCCCTTTCATAGAGGTAGTTTCTCTCTTTTTCACCCGAAGTAATTATCGTAATATACATAAAATAAAAAACTTTTGGGGCTGAAATTTCCGCCTCACCAAAAATAAATCCTGAGACCGCTATTGGTGCCAATATAAAGCTGAGACTTCCCTTTATAACACAGGCGAATCTACAAGGAGGGCCGAGGGCTTTCGGATTGAAGTCCCCACCGTAAAAACAGTAAAATGTAACTACCGTTTATGGAAAAAAATATAAAAAAATTATCTCTTAAAGTATAATTGTTCGTGTAATTACATTTAATAGGAATTCAAGGATCATTTAAATACTATTTCATGAAGGTTGTTAGTGTCTTTCTTTTTTTTCCAAAGTAATTATCATTATTTATATATATGAAAAAAAAGCTATCGGGCTAAAGCCCCCAAAATTAAATTCTAGATCCGCTAGTGCTTTATAACATCACTGCTTAACTGATAACCAACCTCCCCCCCCCCTTCTTCCCAATCGTCACATTTCACACGGCCCTAAGTGAATTTTAAGTAAAGAAACAAAAATAACTACCTCAACTAAAAATTATTTGAAAAAATCATAAAACTAGAGAGATATGTTAATTGCAGGTATTTTTTATACCATTCTTTAAATTGTTTTTCATACTAACATAGAGTGTTGATTCAGGAAATGCTATCTTTAAAGTAGTGTTACAAAAAGTTCGATGTTACTATAAAAAAATATTCCCTATTTTCTTTCTATTCTATTTTCTGTAATTTAAGTTTAACCAATTATTTTTAATGTTAAGGGTGGAATTCGAACGATTATTAACTTTTCTTGGTTAAAAACTTCTTGTTGCCTTGGTGATTGTTATTATGAGCCCAATTTGAACAACTCAGTCGTGTATCAGTTTTTTAAGAACATTTTTGAATCATGAAATCGGGACGTGGTAAAAAAGTATTACGGAATTATCATGATCTTTGTGAAGAAAGAAAAAGGGTGATGAATGGTCGACTTATAACTTTTCCCATTACTACTTGCTTCAGGTTATTATCCTTCATCCTATTTGTCTGTTGAAAATTCACTTGTAAACAATGATTTTGCTGTAATATTTTTTACAGGCAAACTGAATACATCCCATTTCATATACCTCATAAAAGAGTATATTGTAATGAAGTAGAGAATATTGAGAAATCTGCAGATACAATTGTAAGTAATTACTTAATCATCTTAAGAGATGATTGATTTATTGAATTAATATCTTTTGTTGATTTTAATAAGCAAAAATTACCTATGAAAAATTTGATGTTAACAGAAAAAATGTCTTCTCCCTGACATAGATGCTAAAAAGTCAATGGATAAAACTTTTAAAGATGTAATTCCAGGAAGTTCAAAATCACTAACTCCTGAACCAGGTACTTTTGATTGTAATTTAAACCAGGTTGAATGTAAACATGATTTAACTCATCCCTTGGCATTCTCTTCAGTATTAGTTAAGAAAGGTTACATTTAAGTCAGAGTTAGGATTGACCATAGTTACAAATAGCTAAATACAAATAGAAAAGTAGAATAGAAATTTTCATGCTGGAGAATAACTTGACTGCTAGTATCACTAATCATCCAGTATTTACACTTAAAACATTTGTTTCATGGTTAAATAATTCTTCCATATTTCATTAATATTACTTAACTAATATATACTTGTCCTTGGATGCTATCAAGAGGAAATTGAGAGACTTGCTAAGACTCTAATTAGAGGAACAGAGTTAATTGGTTTCCAAGTAAATGAATATAAAATAAAATACATGATATTAACCTGAAGAAAATTACAACCCAACAACAGGATTTATGTTTATGAAAAACTGACCCCTACAGTAGACAGATTCAAATATCTCGGCTCCTCAACAAATTATCATCTGTCAGAAATAGACCAGTGTTTAACAAGCACAAACAGAAAAATCTGAAATTAATAACAGAAAAATATAGTTTGAAAAATCTCAAATTAAAGATGTACATAGCCATGTCTTTAGAATAAAATAAAGCCAGTTCTGATGCACAGCTGTGATTATGTACACTAATCTACACCTTAGAGAGAAGTATTAAAATATTAAAGAAAAAAATCCTCCACATAATCACTGATCTAGGATCAGAGTAATTAATACAATCAAAAACTGCTTACAGAATCTGCTCAATCAATATCTTCATATTAAGGAAAGGAAATATGATGAGCAGGACATGTAGCTGGGAGCAATTCATAAGGAATCCTCTAAACAACAATGTATGCTTTAATAGTTGGTGTCTCTTACCAACTATTGAACCAACAAAGATGCTGCATGCTGAAAACTGGAAAGCAATGGGCCAAGATGTGCAGATATGGAGAAGGCTGGTTCAAGTGGCCAAAAACCTACATCTGTAAAGCCAACAGAAAAAAAAATTAATCAAATTGGAGTTATTAAACTTTTTACGATTTTCTCAAAAATTGGTAACGAATTTGATTAAACTCGTTAGATGTATAATTCATTGGTCTTTAATGTCAGTTAGGTCTTATTCTCATTGATCAGTCTTATGGATGTTATATGCTGAATTTCCAAAATCCTTTGCTCTTAAGTACTTCTAATTTTGTTCTATTTTTATGTTACCTATTCTTGTCATTTTCAGTATTACGTGGTAAATCTGATAACAATTATATGGCTAGATCGTTTAATAAATAAGTTAGTCAATTTACAAATTATTATATAGCCCTGGAAACAAATGTTGAACTCTACTTACCATCAATTGTGAAAGGTTTCTTTCAAAAAGGTGGACCAAAATGATCATTGTGATATGAAAATCAAAAATAGGATCTATTGGGTTGGCAAATAAGTTCTTTCTGTTTATTTTTATGTCACTATGATACACTTCTTATCAAATGAATTAATCCCTAAGGTGGATTGTTTATTCTGTTTGTAATATGTCATCAACCATATCTGTTAACTCTTGTTGAAACTAGCTTAGTATTGCACAGTGAATATGAAAGAAAATATCATTCATTATCTACATATTTTGTTGTATTATATTTAAAAAGGTAAGGGTGCTGCAGAAGCTCATAGAAAAATTTGCAATATTTATGAGGATTATGCCTTAACCAAACACACCTATCAAAATTGGTTTTCCAAATTTTATTCAGGAAATTTTGACATCAATAATGCTCAACTGCCTGGTCGCCCAAATGAAATGGAAACGAGCAAGGTTAAGGTCATTGTTGATCAACATCCCACCCAATCAGTGAGAGAAATTGCTATGGCCCTAAATGTGTAGCACACAAGCACAGAAAACCATTTGCACGAGCTCAGCCGTGTTTCTGGCTTCATGTTTGGGTTTGTCCCTCATATTTTTTTTTTTTTCGAAAATCACAAAATGTAACTAAAATACGACTTTAGCTATCTACAAGAAATTTAGCAGTAATTTAGAGTCACATAAACTACACAAAATGATATCAACAGGACCTTAATAAAAAAAAACTACAAATAGAGATAAAAAATAAAAACTTATAAGGAATTTTTGTTTATTTATTTTATATGTAGGTATTAAATGAAAAAAACACTCATACGGCTTTGAAGAGCAATAATTCAGCACTCCCAACGGATATAGGAACATCGAGTTTGGAGAACATCCTGAAGAGTTATGAATGATCGGAATGGTGTTGTATTCCACCAAGACAACGCTAGGCCCCACAACTCATTGGTCACTCGCAATAAATTATTGAGCCATTGGATGGGATCTTTTGCCCCATCCTCCCTATTCACCAGACAGCTCCAAGTGACTACCACTTATTCTGGTCTCTGCAGAACTCCATGAATGGAAAGAAATTCCAGAAGGGAGAGCACATTAAAAACCACTTGGATCAGTTTTTTTAACAATAATATTCAGACAGTCTATGAACAGGGCATTATGCTGTTAGTGAAAAGATGAGAAAAAGTCATATTAAATAATGGTCAATATATCGTATATTATAATAAATTTTATGTCTATAATACACTATAATAATAAAGTTTTATTTCACCCTGAAAAACCGAAAGGACTTATTTGCCAACACAGTATTAGGTAAGATTAACTGTGGTGAAAGAATCTTGATTTTTATTTTATACAACCCATAAAATTTTCATCATGTGAACTATGTATTAAAAGTGTTATTATATAGACTATGTGCATACCCTCTGTCCACCATTTTATAATTTATACCATCGTTCCTTTAATAGTACTCATTGCTTAAATTGTATAACTGTAATTTAGATGTCTTCTAACTACAATTTGGACAAATTTTTAATTTCTTTAAAAATATATATTATCCATTGTGCCTTATTGCCAATTTATATTATATAATTATAATTATTCTTATTGCCAATGTGTAAAGATTAGGAAGAAATAATTCTGGGATTAATAAGTGTGGTGTCTTTGTTACGGTCAGTCCGACTTTGTAAATATGGCACGGTCACTGAAGCTAAAAATCTATATTATACATTGTGCCTTATTGCCAATGTGTAAAGATTAGGTATTAATAAGTGTGGTGTCTTTGTTACGGCCAGTCCCACTTTGTAATTATGACACGGTCACCGAAGCTAAAAAATCTATATTATACATTGTGCCTTATTGCTAATTTATGTTATATAATTATAATTATTATTGTTGCCAATGTGTAAAGATTAGAGAGAAATAAGTCTGGAATAAATAAGTATGGTGTCTTGATTACGGTCAGTCCCACTTTGTAAATATGATTAGAGAGAAATAATTCTGGGTTAAATAAGTATGGTGTCTTGGTTACGGTCAGTCCCACTTTGTAAATATGACACAGTCACCAAAGCTCTTTGTATATAATAGAGAGATTATATATAAAGATCACTCAGAAGGCCAACAAATAGATGGATAAATAAATCAATAAAGATACAATTGAGCTTCATTCAGATAACTGGAAAGAAATAGCCCAAGAAAGGCACAGATGGAGAAGGCTGATTAAAGTGGCAAAAGATCTACAAGGTTTGTAATGCCAACAGAAAAAAAAAATGTGGTGCGTGCAACACATTTACCTTTCTACTTTGAATAGAAATTATTTTCTGGCAATGTTGAGCAATTATAAAATTTTTGAAGAGCACTTTTAACGGAGCTATAGCTTAAAGTTTACAGTTATTGTCATTATTCTACCCGCTTCATTTTACTTTAATTTTTCTTTCTACATTATTTATGTTTCTCATATCTTGTTATCTGGTTCTTTTCTTAGCCCTGATGAAGGCCTGAACTTCAGGTCGAAACGTCGGCAAATGTTAAAATAAATATTATTATTTATTTTCGCCTTCTTATTTCTGAGACTGATCATCCCAACCATCCTTCCCTTCATTATTCATGACAGTCAACCATTAACCCTCAATTACAAATTAAAGGTACTTTAGAGGAAGACATGTTGAACATTTAAACCCTGTAAGTTCACATCAATGGGGATAAGACCTCAATGATATTGGAAGACCACTTAGTTATACAATGATACACTGAGTTTAATCAAAATCGTTGGAGCCGTTTTTGAGAAAATTGTAAAAATATGTATAACCGGTGATATAAAGTGCCTCTTCTGGTTCGTCGAGTTTAACGAAAAAGTTGCTGTCATATCTAAGGCATACACCTATATTAAATACGTAATATCAGTTTTGTACAACTTTTTGTTTTTGAGCTAGATTTACCCCTCCCCCTCCAACACACATACATGGACCATTTTGCGGGACTTTATTATTTAGGCTCAGGGGACCTCAAATTCCGTTGAAAACTCAGATTCGAAAATTTTCACCATCACAATACTTTCCCTCACTATATGTTACATATAGTAAGTGAAAGTAATGTGTAAATTACATTATTTACATTATAAAGTATGATATATCAATCTGAAAAGAGTATGAAAGAGAGGTAGGTAGTGTGTACAAAGTGGAAGCTCAGACCAAATTTGAATAGGCTGTACACAATGGCTGTTTATCAGATTGTACTACTAGAAATCTTTTTCCATAATGCAATAACTGGGAAGCTGCTGCAGTAAGAGGTTAAGAAAAGAAATATAAGAAGAAAAAGAGGCCTAGAAATGACATAGAAGGTTTATTCATATTATGCTGTCTTATGATTTGAATATTTCTTTACTTTTTCTATATTTCAGTAGTTTTTCTTTTCTTTGGTTATTCATTTCTCTACGTTATAATATATGTAATTATATCTTAAAAGTTAACTTTACTAACTTAAAATTAATATTAGCATACTGTAATTTTTTTAACAGATCCTGATAGTATTTTCGGTCCAATTTTGAAACTTCCACCTATTAAAAAAATTACGAAAAAGGCATCACCACCAAGTGTTCCAAAAAACAAAGCTTTAAAAGGAAGGCTAAATTTTGGAAAAGTTCTCGAAGCAATGAAGAAGGACAAAAGTAATGCTTTTTATTATCTAAAATCAAGTTTTCCCAAAGAATCCCTGAAGTATTCTCCATTTGATTATATGTAAGGTTATAACAATAATTTTTTAAAAATAATATTATTTAATGAATCTGATATTATCTGTCTCTATTACTGCAGGATTGTGTAAAATAGTATCAGGTTACTAAATTTTATCTGAAAAAAAAAATGAAATATTTTTGCAAAATTGCTCAAAAGAGTGTTCAATGAGTTTTCAAATTTGATCTTAAATTTATTTTTCTGTTTTTTTTAATTCCACAGGTTAAAACAAACACGACTTTTCTGAACTACCTTCTTCAAAACTATTTGCATTGACTAAGTTGTTGCAATGTGTTAAGCCCACCTTACACGGTCAATATTATTGAATCAATAATATTGAAGCAATATTCTTGAACATTGTATACACAGTACAAATTTCAATATAATTGTTACAATATATCCCTCAGAAAGTCAATATATTCAATATTGACCGTGTAAGGTGGGCTTTATATTTTCAATCTTTAGGTAATAAACATGCCTAATAAAACCACTCTTTGAGTTTTTCTTGTCATGAATATTGTATTTTAGTCATTCTGCTCTCTTAGTCATGCTACTATCAGGCTCTGCAATTGTAATGCATTTTAAAGACCTGGCAATTCAAGCACTACTGGGAAAAAAATTTTTTCTTAGCTGATCATAATATATCAATTAATTATATTTCCAAATAAGTACCTTTGCTGGCATCTTCAGAAGATGAAGAGTCAAGTAGTTGTAAAAGATTGGAGAAGACAATTTAAATTTTTTGAGTGTATACAACTATTGTGGTTGTTAAAGTGTTAAATTGCTAAGATATTAGACGGGGATTGAAGATTTGAGTCTATAAACAACAAGGTGGAGTCAGGCAACACCTCACACACTAGAAATTTCAATAAATAAATGACAAGAAGGGGTCACATACTACCCCACTTCCAGATAACTATCCCGAGCAAACCACCCAGTGAATTGGAAGAGATATATTCTCACTTTTCAGTGCCAGTGAACGTAGTAAAAGCACTTCCTTGGAACAAACGCAAATCCTATACATACGACCTCAACCTTTTTGGTAGAGGGTTAGTTTATTTTTTATGATAATTTGTGGTGATGAAAGTAATCATTTCCAATATATCTGTTTAGGGTGGTTGATTATGAAGAGTGCAATCCTAACGACTATCACACTCTTAGCAGAGACGGGATAATGCATCACATTAAAGGAGTTGCAATATTCAAATCTTTCGACCATTTGGAAATGGCTTATAAAAAGTATAATTATATGAGAAATGTAAAACTATTTTTTTTTATTTGTTTGCTTTAAGTATGCCATAAGATCTATTCATCTGAAAATATACAAAATTTCAGATTGAATTATTCCAAAAATGTCTGTGTTTTAAGTTATTCAGACAGTGGAAAAAATACATTGGCCTGCTTAAAATACAGACAAGGGTTGCAGAACTTGATGAAACATCTTTGTTCAAGCATGAAGAGCTGAGGAATGTTATATTTGATGCAAAGAGCTTGTGTTTTTCTCTTTCTCGGCTCTCATTTTTTGATGAAACTGCCATTGAACTACTAACATTAGAAGATTTTTATGATAGACAGGTATTATAAATTAGTTTGATAAATTTTGAAACTATGGTTGCGAAAAATACTTTTATTTACTTATTTCTCTTTAAGTATGTATCCGCACCTGTCATGGTATTGAAAATCAGCAGATGTGTTGTGATGATAAGGATTGTCATTTTAGGCATGAGGAAGGATAGTACCCAGCAGCACCTCTTCCTGGTCATTATTTACTTCCTTGATTTAGGTGTGGAGATCTCTCATACTGCTCCTTTTTAGTCTCCTGCTGAAGAGAATGTCAGCCGTGGCCATGTCGTTTGTGTCTGTTTGTGTGTCCGTGTAGTTTGAAATGAAAATAAGAGTAGAGAGTACATATGTGTTGGTCTATAGTTGGTTGTCGTAAGTTGTTATGTAAAGTTTTGTTGTTACCAGGGAACTCCTATTATAAGTTATACAATTTTGGATTGAAATGACGATAGTTTTTGTAAGTGCGTTGTTTTTGCCGAACCCTAAATCTGAGAGGCATATGTCCTGATGGGTTTGAGTAGGTAAGTGTATGTATTTAGTTTTTGTTGAACTTTCAATTTCAATTTAGAAAAAAGTGAGTATAGTATTTTCAGTCACTTGTTTAAAGTCTATTGTTTCATTTTGATGTGTGGGCCACAGGTCATCCTTCTGTCGAATATTAGTTCAAGGTAACGTACTGTGTTTGTCTGAGGAATTTGGTTCTTTCCTATATAAACTGGTGGGCACGTTTCTTGTCGAATTGTAAATATTATATCTTGTGACTTATCATGATTTAATCTTATTTTCTAAAGTGCGTACCAATTTTATAAAGTCAGTAAGTAAGTGATTTTGTAAATTCATTGAGGCTAATCTGGGATTATGGTGTTTTGTTAAAATTATTTTATCATCAGCATAGGTGGCGGTCAATGTATCGGAGTTGGTAGGTATGTCATGCATATATATAATGTAGAGTAAAGGAGCCAGTATTGATCCTTGAGGTACTCCTGCTAACACTGGTCGAATTGAGGAAACTTCTAGGCCCTCTCTGACAGAGAAAAATCTGTCTGTTCAATATTGGGGGGCCCGGTACATGCCATATGACCGGGAGCCCTTTTCTTGTGAGATACAAAATAAAGAAATGTTCTAGAGAGGAATACGTGTGAATATATGTAAAATAGCTCTCTCTCTCTCTCTCTCTCTCTCTCTCTCTCTCTCTCTCTCTCTCTCTCTCTCCCTCTCCCTCTCCCTCTCCCTCTCCCTCTCCCTCTCCCTCTCCCTCTCCCTCTCCCTCTCCCTCTCCCTCTCCCTCTCCCTCTCCCTCTCCCTCTCCCTCTCCCTCTCCCTCTCCCTCTCCCTCTCCCTCTCCCTCTCCCTCTCCCTCTCCCTCTCCCTCTCCCTCTCCCTCTCCCTCTCCCTCTCCCTCTCCCTCTCCCTCTCCCTCTCCCTCTCCCTCTCCCTCTCCCTCTCCCTCTCCCTCTCCCTCTCCCTCTCCCTCTCCCTCTCCCTCTCCCTCTCTCTCCCTCCCTCCCTCTCCCTCCCTCCCAATTTTATTCTAACTTGACAATATTCAAAGATTTTTCTTTCTCTTTCTGGCAGCAGCAGTGAAGATAGGATTTGAGATCATCGAGGAAAAGACCAAGTCTATTACAGCTGACAGTCCTCCAACTGGTCCAATCATCCAAGTTGATAAAAACAACTTTGGTTCCAAGGTTTAAATATTTAGGATCAAAGTGACTGCAGATAATGACATAAACCAAGAGGTAATTGAAGTAGTAGCAAAGATTTGTTACGGCCAACATATTATCCTGAAGTATATTAAAAGCTGTTCACTGCGGCAATCAATTAAACTTCTCCTTTATAAAGACCTCATATGACCAGTTCTGACAAATGGGTCTGAATACCAATAAGAGAAAAATAATAGTTTTAAAAAGAAAGATGCTTCAAAAAGATATTTGGCCTAGTAAAGGTAAATAATGAATAAATAATATGCCATACACATGAGCTAGACAACTTATACAAGGTCCGGGTAAGGTAAAACATATCTGGATAGCAAAACTAAGATGAGCAGGCCCTGTCATACAGATGGACGAGACCTCAATCCCAAAGAAGCTGCTCAGCATATAATCCAATTGAAAAAGAAAAGTGGGAAGACCGAAGCTGAGATGGATAGATGGAGTTAGTGGAGATACCTGATTCTTACAATCAGGAATGGTGGACGGCTACTCAGGACAGAGAAAAGTGGAAAACAATTGTTGAGGAAACCAAGATATAGTAATGGATTATAGAGCTCGGAATGATGATGATAGTATATAACTGATTATGAGAAATTGTTTCATAAATTCATTCTAAATCTATAAATATTCTGTCTACATTATTCTTATTTAATTTATTTAGTTAACTATATCAAATTAATTTCTACTTTGTAATATTTATCTATATATGTTTTTAATTTGTTTTCAGCTTTCTAAGAATGAAGAAGTTATGAATAAACTCAGAGAAGCTTGGTTTTTACTTAGAGAAATGTTAAAATTGGCTTGTTACTCCAATTTAAAAAATAACGGTTTCTCACTTGAAACTAAAGAACGACAAAAAACAGCAAATGGTATATTTTGTGATGTTTTTTTCGTTTGGTGTGCTTTATAATGGTGATTTATAAATATTCAATAATTAGTCATTTTATGATAAAAGCAGTTATTATAAAATTAGATATCAGATTATTAAAAATCGATTAATTATTTCAATTATTCTATTCGATTACATTTCTCATAAAATTTATTCTGAATTTTAGAAACTCTTCAGGCTGTAATGACTGGTGCATTACTGATTGATTCAAAGCCTGCTTATGAGCATTATAGGAAAAAACAAGAATGTATTAGCATTTCTAAGTAAGAGTTATTTTTTAGATATTTATTTGGAGTTTGTTTTTGTATTAATCTGCTAATCTTTGACAAGGACCTTTATGTTATTTTTATTGATTATAAATTAATAATTATGCCCATGAATAAGGATAGTGAGCTTGTCAATTCAGCAAGCTTTTTGAAGTTTACTAATATGTTCTTATAATGACAGCTAAATCATGGTGCAGGATACTCCAATAGAGACTTATCAATGTATCATGAAAAACAGATTGACCTGCCAGTGTACAAATGTCGATAAAGGTTTGACGGTCGACGACAGTAAGCTCTAGGTTTTTAAGTTTGTTCTATCTTTATCTTTGTATTTTATTTTATACTCTAGACAATATATTAAATTTACTAATGTGATGTGGATAAGTGTATATATATTGTTGTTTTTTTCAGATTTTAACTTCTTAAATTTTTATTTTTAACTGATTTTTAGACAATTATTATTTTTATTGTTTTATTTATTTATTTTTTGAGATTTTAACTTTTTAACAGTTTATTGAAATTATCTTGTAACTCATTTTAGGTAATTATTTTTTAGATTTTAACTTTTTTAGATTTTATCTTTTTTAAATTTTAACTTTCACTTATTTTTAGGCAATTAATGTTTTTAAATTTAAACTTTTTACTGATTCTATATTGTAACTTATTTATAGGCAATTTATTTGATAGATTTATACTTTTTAACCTTTTATTGATTTTATATTCTAACTAAATTTATTTAGCAATTGATTTTATAGTTTTTAACTTTTTATTAATTTAATTATACATTGCACACTCCTTTAACAGATTGTTTCAATCATGCGTGTGGTGAGCGTAGTCCCGAACGAAAAAATAATATTGCAATGAACAAAATACCAACGAAAAAGATCAAATTTGGACAAAAGGTATGGTATGGGTTCTGAGAACTGGAGGACCTGTTCAAGAGGCGGTTGTTGCCTCTGTGATGTCTGTGGCCACTGCAGGAGGCGGAGAAAATACATTTGTTAAAGGGGAATGGCCCGACACAGAAGGTATTGGGAAAGACGGTGTCGATAGATGATGTTTTTCCCAGATTGCCAAATGGTCCAATGAAAGTCCCAGAGGTACATAGTGAGCGGCAATATGAAGCTCAACGCCCTGATGATAAAGTTTGTCCAATATGCGGGCTTTCTTTTAAGGACGAACGATGTCTCGGAACCCATATTGCAAAAAAACATCCCAGGGAGGCGAATAACAATACATTGAGGGGCATAGTGAAGAAAGTGATAGGTCCTAGAAATGGAGAGGGTGAGACATCAAAAATAAAAGAGGACATTGTTGGATGGTCTACTACGTTCAAGAACCTATCAAAGCAAAATATGGTAAATACTGCGGATTTTGATGAGGCCGTAAGCAAGTTTCTAAATTTCCTAAAAGCTATCAATGCAGAACTGCCAGGTCCCCAGCACCCAGCTGTCAAATTTTATAGGAAGAGGAAAAAAATAAAATGTAAATGACTGACAAGGGTGCTGGACAAGTTTCAAATCTGCAGAGATTGAACAAAGTAGACAGCGGTCGTCGGCAGGAGCAGTATCAATATGAGGTTGCTCAATATAATTATTACAACAAAAGGAAAAAGATTGTGCAAACTGTAATGAATGCCGATTCTCCTAAACGGTGTCCTCTAAATATGGCCGAAATCGAGAGGCATTATAAAGACCTCTTTGTCTTTGAAAGCGAAAAACTCTGTGGGCGTGCGGATTACAAACAGTGTGCCCCGATGCCAAATTTGCTGTCCATTGAGATAGAAGCTGTCAGGAAAGCCATTAAGTCAACATCAATGGATCCGCACTATTAAATATTTTGATGTAGCAAATATTATCAAAACGATTGCAGAGATAATGCTGAAGGTGGCCTATGTCCCAGAACCACTTCGACAAGGGCGCACAATATTAATATATAAGGGCAAAAGTGATATAAACAATATCTCTACCTGGAGACCGATCACCATATATTCGATTGTGCGCTGAATCATAGAGAAGGTTCTGGACCACGAATTAAGAAAGCAACATATAAAAATAATGAGGTAAAATAGGCCAAACGGCCTAATATTTTTGTAGGCCACTTTTTTTTCTATTTTGTGATCTCTTTATCTTATGATTGAAGTGTAAAGCAAATAGGTATTTATGAGTTTTTAGTACCTTATTAAATCAATTAATTTAATAAGAAAACAGAATTTTTGTGGATAAAAAATTTGTAGATTACGATAAGATGAAGCCATTCACAAAGGCTTGCGGGAATGTTAATAATTCGATAAAAAGGGGTCAGTGCCATGGAGTATGTATGTAGGTTATAACATAAATTGGAAGTTTTTATCATTTGAGTATTTGATTTTAGCCTTTATACCACCCTTTTAGCATTAATAAAGATTTTTGAGGCACTTTTATGGGAAATTAACAGCTGTCAACTTTTGATTTGCTTTCTCAATAATTCAAAAAATCCCTAAAAGATAAGTGATTATGATCTTACTGAGACTGATGTACTTGTCGTTAAAGGTTGTATTGATAAAATTTACATCAATTGAGATCAATTACTTTTATCAAGCAATGCCTACTGTAGTACTATAAATTAAGTGTGTTTTGATCAAGTTATTGAATAGCATTCCAGGCAAACTATATCACTTAATGATTTTATTGAGATTCATTATATCTTAGTTTTAACTAACTAAATTATATATTTATTTTTAATATTTAATGTATTTTTTTTTAGGACTATAAGAATGGTTGAATACTTGGTACATTCTATGCTTCATTGTCTACTTAAAAATTCTATAGAATGTTTGAATGCTACATTGAAAAAACATACTTGCTATTTGTATGAAAAATTTCTTGATTCACAATGGGAATTAGATGAGCCTCTAAGTAAACCAAGAAAATCAAAACCTATGGTATGAATGAAATGTTTTGCTATTATAGATGAATATAAAGAAATTGCCAATTTTAGCTTGTTTTATCCTCCACTCTCAAAGTGCGCTTAGATAAAATAATACTGTATTTCCCTGCACATAAGTCTTAGTTTTTTTAAAAATATTTCTCTTGTAAAATGAGGGTTGAGCATATATTCAGGTTGGCTTACATATGGAATTGACTTATATTCAGATTATATAGGACAAATTGACTTTGACTAAACTCAAAACTTTTGTGGTAGGAGACAATACAGTTTATATTACCAATTATTATCATACATAAATATATACCATATATCATTTATAAATATTGGGTTGGCAAATAAGTCCTTTTCTGTTTATTTTTATGTCACTATGATACACTTCTTATCTGATGAATTAATCCCTAAGGTGGATTGTTTATCATGTTTGTAATATGTCAACAACTATATCTGTTAACTCTTGTTGAAACTATCTTAGTATTGTGTTTGCTATTGCACTGTGAGTATGGAAGAAAATATCATTCATTAACGGCATATTTTGTTGTATTTTCAAAAAGGTAAGCGTGCTGCAGAAGCTCATAGAAAATATGCTATGTTTATGGGGATGATGCCTTAACCGAATGCACCTGTCAAACTTGGTTTGCCAAATTTCATTCAGGACATTTTGACGTCAATGATACTCAATGGTCTGGTCGCCCACATGAAATTGAAACGAGCAATGTTAAGGCCATTGTTGATCAATTCCACTCGATCAGTGTGAGAGATTGCTATGGCCCTAAATGTGTCGCACACAAGTGTGAAAAACCATTTGCACAAGCTTGGCTGTTTCCAGGCTTAATGTTGGGGTCCCTCACTCTCTAACTGAGGTCAACTTGGCAACACACATTTCTGTTTGTAATTTACTTCAAAAACGGAAAAAAAATGACCCATTTTTGAAAAAGTTGGTATCAGGAGATGAAAAATGCATATTTTACACTAATGTAGTCTATAGAAAATCTTGAGGACCTAGTAGTGAGGCTCCTAGAAGAATTTAAAAACCCGGATTGCATCCAAAGAAGATAATGCTTTCCATATGTTGTGATTTCGAGGGTGTTATTTTCTATGAGCTATTGCCATCAGGACAAACAATTGATTCAACTCTATACTGCTCACAATTAACAAAGTTGGATCAATCAATATATTGTAGATTAAAATAAATTTTATGTCTATAATACATTAAGTTTTATTTTACCCTGAAAACCTGAAAGGACTTATTTGCCAACCCAGTAGATATTATTCGAATAGATATCATACGTAAATAGATTAAACAAATTGAAAAAGTCCCACAAATTTAGTTTTGGAATTGCAAGTTTTTTGTAATATGCATACTATTTTATGACTTCAGTCATAATAGTGGTGTCTACATCCAAATCAGATGGGTTTAAATACATTAAATTTGTATGTTGTTAGCCATAACATGAATAAAGTAATTCGTTAAGAAGAGTCTCTCTTATAGAGAGATACCTGTTAAGAAAAGTTTCACTGTGTCAAATTAAAAAAAACAAGCTAAGGTTTAGACCACATGATAGAAGTGTAAACATCAACAAGGCGATTAATAATATGAGATATAAATTATAAATAATAGCCCATTACAATGAGAACGAAATGCTGAACATTTCTCTCACTTACAGTATGCAGGTCCGATTTTTATTTTCTGGGATATTTTAATCCATATCTTCAATAAAACTCGTTATCATTTGGTTTTCCACTCTATTTTTTCCTTTTCACCTCTCTAAAACGGCGTCGTATTAAGATAAAATTTTGAATATTAGCCCATTACAAAGAGGATGGAATAAATGCTGAACATTTTCCTCACTTACAATATGCAAATCTGATTTTTAGGTTCTGAGATATTTTAATCCATATCTTCAGTAAAACTCGTTATCATTTGGTTTTTGACACTATTTTTTCTTTTTCGCATCTCTAACATAGCGTCGTGTTAAGATAAAATTTTGAATAATATCTCATTACAAATGGGATGAAATAATAAAAATTTCCCTCACTTACAATATGTAGGTCCGATTTTTAGTATTTGATCCATATGCAAAAGCACTTCAATTAATCTACTCCAGCTGACTTTACCTCAGTGTTACACATTCAGAATCTGATGACTCAATCTAATTCACTCTCCACAAAAAAAGTGCAAAACACGCCTAAAGAAGTTTTCACTTAAAAAAAAAAAAAAAGACAAGAAAAGGTTAATAATTTCAATTATTTTAATATGAACCAAAAATTGACAATTTCTTTAGTTATAAATTGAATTTGTATATCAGGGTATTGAATTATTTATTTTTAAAAATTTAGAATCCAATGTTTATAATTGACCTTCAACCAAATGAAGATCTTACTAAATTAGTATTTGAGCCCCTCCCTTCGGAATGGGTTATAGCTTTTGAAGGTATCTTGGAATTATGGATAAAGAGTGTTGAAAGTTTTGAGCCATTTTCAGAAGATGACATTTATAACCCATTCATAAGGTATAATTAATTAAAAATTGTTTTTATGAAATATTTGCTTCAGTTGTTGAATAGTCTGGTTTTAGGCCGATCATAGGTGGAATTCAAGAATTATCATTGATTGGCCCTGCACCTAAATTACATCATCTGCTCAAAAATGATTATATTTTGGAAGCGTTAGAAGAACATATAGTTCTGGTTATAAGAAGAAACATACAAATGGTCGAACACTTTATTGGTAGGTTGCAAGAATTTGCCATGTTTTATAAGATGAATGTTGAATTAGAACCGGACAATATAAGAGCTGAGAGAGGTAAATTATATTTCATTAATGATTTAAATTATTGCATTAAATTAATTATTAATCATACATTTTTCTCAATTTTCAGACATAAGTAAATTTCGCTTTTGGCTTAGAGATTACGAAGGCAAACTTCATAAATTAAACAAACTCCTTACTGAACAGGACATTGGTTTATTTCTTTTAACTATGAATAATTTCAAAAAAATGTGTATTCCTATTTGCCAATATATGCAAGGTGTATTGAAAACTGCTCTTCCAGAGTAAGCCTTCAGTGAAACTTAATTTCATTTATTTATTATTATTATTATTATTTATATTTTTAGTCTATTATACAGGGTTTTTCAGGGTTGAGTGGCCAAACTTGTAAAATCTGATCCTTTGAAGGTATGTCTGCAAATGCTGTGTTTAGGAGATATTCACACTTAAACATTTTCGTTGTTATGAATTATTTTCATTATATGAAATAAATAAAACCTATTTATTTTTTCTAACTACTTTATTAATTAAATGTAAACATTAACATTCATATTAAATGTTGTTCAAAGTGATTTTCTTGAGCATTAAGACAGGCTCGGCATCTTTCTTCAACAGCAGCAGTAACAGAAAGGCACTGGATATGTGTTATTGTTTCACAAGATTCAATTATCCTTCTTCCTAAGGAATAAAGATCATTAACGGGACACGAAATCGTGACTATTTTAAATCCATTGTCTCATAGATCAGGTTGCCGGGCAATGGCGGTGCTGTGCACATACGTTATCCCGTTCGGCCACCACGCCTACTGAATATCTCCTAAATAAAAGTGTTTGCTTACATACCTTCTAAGGAAATTTTTTTCTGGTTTTGATGAAGTGAAAGTAAAAATACTTTCTTTAAAAATAAAAGTTTAATTTAAAAAACACTAAAAAATAATCCTAAAGATCCTAAGGGAATGTATATGTTTGTTTTGATTTCTTCTTATTACCACAAAGTAGTATACTTTAAATTCATCATGTTAATTTATTTTTCTGTTTAGGATAACTACAGATATGCTCAATCTCAAAATGAGCTTGATTACAAAAATTTTAAATATTCTTAAAAATGAGCCAAAGACTGCTCAGGGTTTTGTTGAGCTAATGGAGGTTATTCGAAGGCATCATGCGAGGGTATAAAAATTTATTATTATTGTATTATTTGGTATATTCAAAGAATCTTTGATAATCTATTCTATTTTTCGATTCTTTATAAATAATAATACATAACATTATATTATATATGTATACTGGGGGGTTATCTCCTGCCCACCCAATGGCGAACCAACCCTTATTTCACAAATTATACAACTGTTCACTTAATTTTACTACTCGTTGCTCAAATTGTGTATAACATTAATTTACATATATTCTGTAGTTCACATTGTATTCTTTTTTATTAAAAAAAACTATTATTCCGTACAAAGTTTATTCTAAAATTTATTAGGAAAGTAAGAGGTTACAGGAGCTCAACACACATAAATGTTAAATGTTAAATGAACAGCTATATAATTTGTAAAATAATCACCAAGCTCCTATTATCTCCTGCTATCCTAATACTAGAATAAAATAAAATATGAAAGTCACTAAAAACTTTGTTATATAATATATGTATATGTATATGTATATATATATATATATATATATATATATATATATATATATATATATATATATATATATATATATATATATATACATATATTATATAACAAAGTTTTTAGTGACTTTCATATTTTATTTTATTCTAGTATTAGGATAGCAGGAGATAATATATATATATATATAACAAAGTTTTTAGTGACTTTATATATATATATATATATTATATAACAAAGTTTTTAGTGACTTTATATATATATATATTATATAACAAAGTTTTTAGTGACTATATATATATATATATATATATATATATATATATATATATATATATTATATTATATTATATATATGATATATTATATATATATATATATATATATATATATATATTATATTATATATATGATATATTATATATATATATATATATATATATATATATATATATATATATATATATATATATATATAAAATAATAATATATAAATAACTAAACTTCATTCTTAAATTAGCTGTTCCATCTGTCTCTCGGTCAGATTCCTAGCCAATGGTTATGATTTTATATTTTTTCTTGTCATCTTCCAATAACTGCAATTTTTTTAAAAACTCTTTTTGACTTAATCCGCTCCTTGCCTACCGCCTAGTGCACTGTGAGGATTCTTTCTGTTGAAGTTGATCCATTGTGCTCCGTCCTGTGCCAGGTCCCTTCTTCTTCTCCAATCCAGATTCCTTGCCGTAAACACCTCCCTAACACCTTCTTCTCAGGTTTTCCTAGGGTGTCCTCTACTCCTTCTTCCATCAAATTAGTCATAAGTCAGTCTTACTATTCTCTCACCTGGTTTATGTGAAACATGTCCAAACCATCCCAGAAGATTCTCTTCCTAGGTTTCATGTTATGATTTTAGGTCAAGATCGTGGTGTTTCTCATTCTGTCTTGGCGGGTTTTTCCTTCAATTTTCCTGAGGAATCTCATTTCTATGGCTTAGAGTTGGCTTGTATGCTTGCTGGTTAGGGTCCATGACTCACTGGAATAAGTTTGGGTAGGCAAAAAGATTGTCTTGCATATTACCTTCTTTGTATTATTTCAGACCTCTGGTTTTAGACAAAGGAAATTCTTGCCCTTATTTGCAGTCTATGATTCCTTACTCATATATATGCACTCCAAGGTATTTGAATGTTTCCCTTCTATCCTGATTATTTGGTCTCCAGGGACTTAAATTTTTCCTATTCTCATAACCTTTGACTTTTCAGGGTTTATTTTCATATTAAAATGGGCTAGCTTTTTCTGTAGGATCCTAAGGTTGAACTGAATACTTCTTCCATTCCTTCTAAATACCACTATATCGTCTGTGGAGACAAATACATTTAAATGGACTGCTTGCATGTTTCTATATTCTATGTGAAAACCTCTCACCTTGTCCTGACATTCTTCAAGGCACTATCTAACTCTGAAATCACCAGGAGTAGGCTAAGGCTGCATCCTTGCCTGATACCGTTCAAAGGTCTAAATTCTTTGGAACTATTATTGCAGGTTCTAATGAAGTTTCTACATTTAGCAAAGAGGCTTAATATTGTTTTCCGGAGTCCAAGTGTCACACCTTTTTAATACTTTTTTAACATACTGGACATTAACACTGTCGAGGTGATTGGGTGGTTGGGATTTGTGTCAGAATTCTCAGCAATTTGTCTAGACTTAATAAGGTATACATTGAATGGGTTCCGGGTCACTTGGGAATTCATGGAAATGAAATGGCTGATGAACTAGCCATACAAGGCTCTCAAACAACACCAATAGCTCCGGAACCCATCTATGGTGTTAGTCAGTGTATGACAATAGGCAGAATAGGGGAAATATATGGTGCTAAAAACAAAAGAAACTGGCATTTGAAAAAGCAGACCCACTCGAGACTGTTTCTGGAAGGAATCTGCCAAAAAAGAACCAACTTACTAATTAATTTGAGCAGAAGCTCTCTTAAGAAACTTTACTAGCGATGTTCAAAAGTGAGAGTTCTTTTTGATTTTTGCATTCCCTGTTGTCTCCTTTTTTAAATGTAGGAACAATTACGGAAAAATCCTTTTAAAAGTCCACTTTAAGTTTAAAATCCAGTTAATTTCAGTAGTAATGTAATCTTTCAGAATCAAACTTCTCCTGGTTCGCTAAATCTTTTATGTTATAATCCATTGATCAAAGATATAATTTTGTTTTGAAGAACTTCTGTGCTGATCATGATTTTGAACATTTTAAAATTTATTATTTGTAATTACACTTTATAAACAATAATGGTATATTATGTATTTTTACCAGGAAGAAAATTTTGAAGAAACTATTCAGTATGTCAGAGATGTATTTAATATGACTCCAGAATTTGACTTAGTTTTCTTACCTGAAGACGTCATTCAAACATATATGGTAAATATATTTATTTCTAAGGAGAGTTATAATTAATTATAAAGTATGTATTTTTTCCTACTTTAGAATTGAATTGTATCTCTTTGTGCATATTAACTGTTCAAAAATCCTTTCCATAAGTTTTATGATGAAGATAATAATTGTTTCTGTCAGAATAAAGGACAGGAAATGCCATAATAAAATACAACCATCCATAAACTATTACTTATTACTTAATTATCTACCTATTCAATAAAAGCAAAGACAAAAATGTAAAAATTATGACATAAGATTAAATTTAGTTTAGCTAGAACCAAACTCAGGCTGTACAAATCTGAGGAAGTTTGCCAAGCATGTAACATGTAAGTGTGGATTTGTATTAATTGAAGTGCATAAATTTGCTGAACTTCTTTGTAATCTTCTAATTAGTTTATTTCAAGTTTGTGTGTGTTTGTATGATTTAAGATATGATTACTTATCCATATCATAGATTTATTGCAAAAAGTCATTAAATGATATTTCGTAACTTGATAAATAACAACTTTATTTGTTTTAAGTTTGACTAAAGTAGTATATATAATACTCTCTATATAATCAAGGCAAATGCAAGAATCAAGGCAATGCAATTTATTTAAGGAACTATTTTATTTTAAATATGTGAGAGCAGATGTGGAATATACAAATATTTCATGCAGTGTTTATGGATGGGTAAAACATGTTTATAATCTTAAATAAATTTACTAGTTTATTAACTTCAGACCCAATAATAGATTTAAATAATTAGGTATATTTTGTTGGTTTATTCCGAAAAATTATTAAGTAATAATTTAGAAAATTGAATCAGTGAATAATTAGATGAATTTTCCCTCTGTGAAATCATAATATTGTGCACATCATCACGAGTTTTTGTGATCTTAATGAAATTGGAATTATGTGGTTTAAGTAGAGTGAAGAATGTTTTCATTGCCCACTATTGATATAATAAATACCGATTATGTTACTTTGATGGTCTTAATGAGTTTTTGCATTACTATAACCGAGATTCAAAAATAGTTTTGTAAGATTTAGCTCCATTAAAAATACACTTAGAAATGCATATAATCAAACAATGGTCTGCCATAGACCATGTTTTGAAGAATTACATGTTTCCTATACATTTGGAACAATTTTCTGTTTAAGTAAACAAAACTTTTTACATAATGATCAAGCCAGTTGATCAAAGTGGACTTCTTCAAGACTTTGATAAAAAAACTTAACCACGTAAACTAGCTTTTAGGCATTCCATGTGCAGCTAATTATTTAATTTTATTTTTTAAAGGATATATGTGATAACGTTACTGAGATCTACAAATTAGCTGATAATTTGAATGACAATGAAAGGGATATTATGGGAAAGTTTTTGAAAAAAGTTGAAGCTGAAGAAAATGAATTGAGAGAAAACATTGAACGCCTTAAAAAAGAAGCCGAGGTAATTAATAAATTATTAAAGCAACACCAGATGTTTGGTTAACCACATTAATGAATAAGGAAAAAAGGGGTTTGGTCAGCTAATATCAGCTAATATATTTTTTATCACTAACTTAATAAATTTTATCAAATGGGATGTTTTTTACTTTATTCACACTAATGAAGCGTCCCTCAGGGTTCCTCCCTATCTTCTATTCTGTTTGCTATTTACATTAATGACCTTCCTCTCCTTATCCATTATTCCCAATACCATATCTATGCAGATGATTTCCAAATATACCTGTCCTTCCCTCCTTCTGATCTATTAGCAGCCACAAAAAAACTTCGAGAGGACTTAAATAGAATCTGTGATGGGGCAGATGCGAACAAGTTGAAGTTGAATGCCGAGAAGACCAAGGCAATTATGATAGGCTCGTCACCTCCTTAAAACTTCCTAACATACCAATCCTGTTCCTACATAATAATCTCATCAAATTCTATCCCATCATTAAGAACCTTTGGAGTAACCTTTGATCAAACCCTTTCTTTGAAAAACCATGTATCTGAGATTTCCTGCCTTGCCTTTTCCATTTTAAAATGACTAAATTACCTCTGCCACCTATTTCCGTTTGAAACCCGTAAACTCTTGATTATTTCCTTAATATTTCCTCATTTTGACTATTGCTGTATGGTATATGGGGATCTTGAGGCAAAACTAAATCATTTGATAAATTGTCTTGTACGATTCATCTTGGGATGCCTCTATTTCCCATTATTATGAAGAGCTAAAACGGCTTTATTCTTCCTACCGACGTAAGTATTTCCTAGCATCCTTCCTCCTTAAGTCATCCAATCCCACCATCCCGTCTTCAGATTTGCATACAAGATCCCACCAAACCGCTGCTTTTGACAGATCTTTCATTATTCGATCCACATCCCTATGGAATTCAATCCCATCCTATATGCGTTGCTCCAATACCCTTCCCACCTTTCAATCCCGTCTATTCAATCACCTCTTATCCGTTCAGTTATCATAAAACTGTAAATATGTATATAAATAATTAGTTTGTTTTAAATACTTTTATTTCATTTTTTGTTTCTCTTAGTTGAAGATTGAAGGTAAATAATACTCTTTTCTTTTATTTATTTATTGTATAATTCTATTTTGTAATGGTTCTCTGATGCTCCGAAGCCCGCATTTCTATCTCTGTACATTATTCTAAAGGGACTTGTCCCAGAATAAATAAAGCATTATTATTAATAAAAAGTGTTTAATTAATACATTGACTGCCATGGTACTTTTCAGTATTCTGGTTTAAAAAGATAATTTGATTTAATCATATTATATTACTAATATCTCAATTTTTTATAAATATTAATCATCAATATGTAGTGTTTCTTGATATCATATTGTTCATTTGAATAAACACAGTTCTCTAATATAGCTTATTCTTCAAATGTATTTTAAGAGGAAAAGGAATAGATTATAGATATTTAATGTATTAGTTTTTGTACCAGTATACTAGTTATATTACTGGTGTAAAATTTTAAATTGGACTGTAAGTAGTACTAACTAGGCAAAAAAACATACTGTGGTAGATAATTCCTCTACTAATAATAAATAAAGTTTATACAACGAAAATTTAAGAAATTTAGGTTCACTTCTGGTGGACAAACATGAGGGCATTTCTTGGAATAAAACCTTCCTAGACCTCTTGTAGCATTGATCTCTGTATCAATGATCATAGTCTGCTCTTTACCGAACTGGCTTTTACTTTTGATTCCTTTCAATTTTTCTGTCTTAAACTTGAAGGACTAATTTTACTAAATTACTACAGCCTGTTTCTTTTTATTTTCGTACTGCTACTAGGTAAGGAAAGCATTGCGATTGGATCAAATATCTGATGTGTGGTTTTCAATGGATCTTTATGTTTCAGAGCTCCTGAGTCCAAAAAATACATTTCCTGCCATTGGTTTGTCTGTCTGTACCAAATTTATCTCGGGAACGAGTTGACCGATTTTGTTACTTCTTTTTTTGTTTTGTAGGATTTTGACTACCGATGCCTGTGAAATAAACTGGACGCTCCCTGCTCACTAGCGGCTGCACAATAAGAGTAAAACATGTTTTTCCATAGACTTGTACAAAAAACGTTCTAATGTTTTTGATGAACCTTTACTATAGTTTAATAAAATTAACTACGAAACAAAAAAAAAAAAAATCATTAGAATTGAACCAATACTAGCAGTGGTACAGCATTTTTTATTTTCTTCAGATTTTATTTTATAACTTCCCTACCGCTACTAGATAAGGAAAGTATTGCAATTGGGTCAAATTTCCGATGTACAATTTTCAATGGACCTTTGCATTTCAGAGCTCCCTCTGTCACTAAAGCACAATCTCTATTGCTTCTGATGATGTATAACTTTAAAAAAAAAAAAAATATGAACTTTGCAGTAGAACATGTGGGAAACATTTAGAAAAACACATCTTTGTACCAAATCGTCCAATTTCAACATTTTTTTTTGTTTTTTATTTTAGGATATTTCGTAAACCCTTCTATAATTATATTCAGCATAGCAAATAATTTTGTACTTTTTGAGTTATTCGGGAATCTAATTTTATCATCTTTTGTAACTTTTTTCCAGCCTCTTTTTGTTGAAGTATGTTGTGTAAATAAATTTAAAGGGCTTCGAGGAGAAGATTTTATCCAAGTTTCATTGAAATTGTTACATTGGTTTAGGTGCTACATTCTATCTGACAACAGGTCATTCAACCACCATCTTGAAAGGAAAGTACTTTTTGGTGAAGTATTTCATATACATAAATTTAAAGGGCATCGAGATGAAGACTTTATGAAGGCCATGTTTCATTAAAATCAATACATTGGTTTAGTCCATATTCAGGCCATCATCTTGAAAGATAAGGACAAATGGTAATACCAATTTCTGAGGATCATCCTTGGGTGAACTTTGACATTTATATAAAATCTCAAAACAACTTGTCCAGTTGTCTCACGAGAGTAGTCGCTGACAGCGAACAGATAAACGGATTTTTTTTTTTTATCCGATTTTCGAATTCTACCTGTATTGAAACATAATACCTCAAATTTTTTCTTTCTTTGTCAATTACAAAGGTTGATTGTTGAAAATCATAAATTAAAAAATCGTTTAAATCGGACTAGTTTTAGTAAATTTTCAGTGTATTGAATTCTATAAGCTGGTTTTAATTATGGTTCACATTGCTTTAGTTCATAGGTACTTCAATTATTTTTTGGACATATTTAAGGTGTATGAATTGGTCTAAAACTGGTAGGAAAGTCACCTGATTTATTTGTTTTTTTCCTCCTATTGTTTGATAGGGGGAAAAAAAACCCACTAACTTTAATAGAAATATAGGTACAAAATTGAAATAATAAGCTGAGATGGTCCGTTCGGTCCAGGAAGATATAATATTGATACTATTTCTATAATTTTTTTTTTTAATTATGTGTGCGTGACCAGCTACATTACTAATATATTGTTAAATTAGTTATCAAAATGATTTGAACCATGTATTAAAAAGTTCAATAACATTTGAAATTCATAGTTACTATAATGTTGGTATATTTATTCTTATTTTGACTGATTGACAACAATATCAATATTTTATAGGATCCAAGTTTTCTTAGCCTCAAAACTGATCTGATTGATATCGAAATTGGCTTGCAAGATTTATTGGATAAAATGCAAGAGCAAGCGCAATTACTCAATAAATGTAGGGAATGTCGAAAAGCATTAAAGGTATTGTAACTCCAATACATATCATAAAACAATTTAAATTTTTATATTCAATACTTTAATTGTTTAATAAATTTAGGTTGCAATTGAAAGATATGAGTTTCTAGATGAAGCGATCACACAAGTTAAATTAAAACAACGTTTATGGGAAAATGTGGTGCAATGGGATGACATTGTTAATGAATGGATAAATGCAAATTTTGAAACGTTGAATGGTGATGAAATACAGCAAACCATTGGTAAATACCTAAAAAATCTTATACAATTTGAGAAAAACTTTCCACCAAACGCAGTTGTTCCAAAATTACGGGAAAAAGTAGAAACTATGAAGGATAAGGTAAATCAAGCTTAGTTGTTATGTCAATTGCTTTGTTTTTAAGTTATAAATTAGAATTAATTTTTTGTCTGTTTCTATTAAATAGATTCCTGTAATTAATAATTTGTTAAATCCCAATATAAAACGAAGGCATTGGCTATTGCTAGAAAAAGTATTAAATTGTAAATTTTCACAAGATGAGGTAAAAACGTTAAAGAAATTAGATGAGCTGGGAATATTTAATTTCCCAGAAATTATTGCGGATTTATCTGCTCAAGCTAGTTCAGAATCAGCTCTGGAAGGACTTTTGAAAAAGGTTTGATGTATACTACATTTTGTTACATTATATATTAAAACTTTCTTTTGGGACTGAAATTTCATTAGAATACATTCCACAAACTCTTTGATTTTCATTAGCATAAGAGCATTTTCAAGAAGTTCACCTATATAATATACGTATTTGTAGGTTGAAGATGCCTGGAAATCACTTGAGTTTACCGTTGTACCATATAAGGATTCAAAAGATGTTTATATGCTGAGTGCATTAGATGAAATTAATGCTATCCTTGATGAAACTCATATAAATTTAAGTACTATTTCCAGTTCTAGAAGTGTTGGACCGATAAAACCAAAAGTTGATGAGTGGAATGAAAAAGTGGAACTATTTTCAAAAACTTTGGTAATCATTGTGTACATATCATATATATTATTTACTTTCAATACTATCTTCCCCTTAAGTACCTTTAATTTTTTTTATTTGAAACAATTGACCATTTCACATTAATCTCTAATATAAAAGATAGTTAAATATACAATATGAAAGAATTTGATAATTAATTAAAGGAGAAATAAAGATCGTAACGTAGAATAGTTGTGATTGAGGAAACAAAGTAATATTATCGCATCCGAGCTTGCCTGAACGATTATAACAGGCTTCCATACATAACATATGCTTAATATAATACGGACTCTGACAGTATTATATAAATATATATATGCGGTTTTCATAAATGCTATTGTTGGTTATTTAAGATTTAATTGTAGAGATTACAGCGACATAAATATTAAAATTTGTATATATAAGGGTACTTATACACATAAAAATACCCACAATGAAATATAAATTAATATAAGGTCTGTAATTTTTACTTTCTCTTTGTCTAAAAATACTTATTTCTGCTAAGGAGAGGGTGGTAAGTGAAAGTTGTGTGATGCGTTACCGCAGCAGATTTTTTATTTCCACTTATATATATAATATGTAATATATAGTAAGGGAAAGTATTACGATCATGAAAATTTGAGTTTTCAACAGAAATACACGTTTTGAGGTTCCCTGAGTCCAAATAACCAAGTCCCGCAAATTGGTGTGTGTGTGTGTGTGTATTAGTTTTCTGTCACAATTATCTACTAATTTTTTATTATCTTCTTTCATTTCAATGATATTTTCTTCTAGTTTATTGAATGTTCACTTCTATATTCTATGAATATCTTATTATAATCTCCTAGTTTCTTCGTTATAATACTTCTATCTTCTATTATTTGATTCAATTCACTATTATCTTCCTTCATTATATCTCTTAGTTTGTTATTGTCTTTCTTTTTTACTTTCTGTGGATTCTTTTGGAGCTTCTTCTATTTTCTTTTGATTTTCTTTCATTCTAAATTTCAAGCTAGTATTCCCTTGTCAATTAAGTATTGCAACTCATATAACATAGTTGTTGAGTTTAATGTAATTTTCGAGTTTACATTAATATATTTTTCTTAATAACATTATATCTTCTTCCATCCAAACCTATGTTAACTTTTGTTTGTTTTTGACTCACATTGTTAACGTTCCTTGTTATAACCTTTGTCTGTATTTCTGTCTGCCATTTTAAGTTTGCAGTCTTTTCTGTCGTACTTCCATCATTTTTTATAATGTCTGCATTTGTTTCACTACATACTGAATTAGACTTGTTATTCATTTTATTAGCAAATTTTTCCCACAAAATTAATAATTATTTAAATCAATCACTATATACAAACACACTTGTCTTTTAATGGATCCCTTTTCGGTGTCTCAGTTTTCAGGTGCCAAATGTACTAATCTTTTATAATTAGTGAATAAATAATGATTATAATTTCTATCTCTGTTCGGGCGCCAAATATTCGTATATATAAAGATCAAAAAAATAAATAAAAATATTGATTTAAAACTTCTGTGTTATGATAATTTATTGGGTGCTAAGTGTCTCTAATTGTTCTTGAATTCTTGTGTTTCTGACGTAGTCTCACCTTGATTGTATATATATTTCATATAACATGTATTTCCATTAAAAACTGAGATTAAAAATTGTTCACAATTGCAATCATTACTTTCCCTTAATTCCCTTCTTTAGGAATATTATATGTTTAATAATTCCATCAATACTTTATATAACTAGATGAAAGTAACATGTTAAATGCCATTGCTTGTGACAGAATGTTATGATGCTCAATAAAACAATTTTAAAAATATATATATTGTGATTTTATTTATTGCAATTTTAAAATTAAGTATTGAATAATTAAGTAACCAACAAAATTATATTTCATGGTTGTTTCAGGAAGAATGGTCAAATTGTCAAACTAATTGGTTATATTTAGAACCTATTTTTTCTGCACCAGATATCCAGAGACAATTGCCTAACGAGGCTAAGATGTTTCTTGTTGTAGACAAATCATATAAAACTATAATGAGAAATACTTATAAGGTAATATTTTTTTTTTTTTATGCTTATGATTATAATTAAGTATAATGTTTAAATCTTTGTATGTGAATTTTTACATTAGGTATATCAAGCAAGCACTGGTCCCAGCAGATTTATATTTATATTAATAATGCTTTTAATAACTTGTAGAATCCTTCTGCTATGCCTGCATGCACTGTTCCTGGACTTTTTGAAGAATTGCAAAAGGATAACTCGTTATTAGAAGAAATTCTAAAATGTCTGGAAGCTTATCTGGAGTGTAAACGTGTTATTTTCCCAAGATTCTATTTTTTGTCAAATGAAGAATTGATTGAAATACTTGCCCAAGTATGTTATAATTAATGGAATACATGTATTCTTATGTTTTTGTTTGTCCCTGTTAGCGCACCAAATCTTAAAATTTTAGTTTATTCCTGTTTTACATTTTTCTTGGAAACTAAATATTTTGATAAATAACAACAAAACTTTATTGAAGAATATTTTAATTGTTATTAATAATTTACAGTTAAATTTATAATCGTTACTGGAGGCCTTCTAGTTTACATAAATATAATTACACTTGATCACTTCACAAGATATATTAAATAAATATACATGAACTATAAAACACTTGTTTACTAAACAATGTATCCTTAACACTGCTAAAGCACTTATAACTGTTAACAATTAACTTTTTTCACAAAGAAATATCTAGATTGCTTGATATGCGCTATTTATAACTTTTGATATATATAAAACCATTATGTAAATAACCTACGGGAAGTTAATTTTAAATGATTAGTTTTGGCGGAAATAGGATCATAGCCTTCCGCTTTTATATCGGGGTTTAAGGTTATTTACACTCGTGAATCATTAAAACAAAACCCCGGCACTGGATATTGACTTTTGAGGGTGTTTAACTGTGATTGGGTATTCGGGGATCTATTACCTTTTATGACACTGTGTGAGAAGAAACAATAAGAATACATATATGAAATGTGGGGCTTAGTAAACACTTTGAATTGACTCACCTGGTTTATTCTTCAATCGTGAGGCCTATAGGACAACTAAATAAAAGGACTGACGACTAAATATAAGGAAGACGACCTGCAAAGTGGGTCGAAACGTCGGCAAAAATTAAAATAATTTATATATTTTAATTTTTTTATTTATTTGACCGCACCCTCGACTAACTCCTTCTCATATTATACCAACGGTCAACCATCTCTACATCATTATAAATAAAAAGACCATTCACTCTGGTATAATAAAACAATTTATTTTGACAATTGATCATAAATGAATATATATAAGTGAACGGTCGGCTTGATAATCTTGGTCTTCAATGTAGTAAGCCTCTCTTCCCAGATGACGTCCTCTTGTGTTGGTGTCCAGGCCTTAAGTGTTTGGCGTCATCCCCGCCATCTGTTGCCAGCTACCTGATCGGACCTTTTCTTCTTTTCGATTCTTTATCGATGTGAGATTTTCCAATGAGCAATTTGTCCACTGCACAATTGAGTACAATTCACAGTGCTACCTCACATTCCTATATATTATATATACCTTCTCATTCCCTCACACATTGTCATAAAAAGGAGTAAATACCGGGGATGTCTACTACAGTTAAATATGAAATATGATGTTACAAAAAATTAGTAATTCTCAATAAATATAAGGAAATATATATTGACCGTGTTGTGCCAGAAAAGCCATTCTGCATTTCATAAATGTTTCTAAGATTTGCATTAATATTAAAGCTAAGTTTTCATTGATTTTAACCAAAAGTGTATTAACTTACTTTTGAAAAAGGAAATCATGAAAACATCTGTTACTTATTTCCATTTATTTGAGTCTCTAGCTTGAGCTGTTCAATAGTTTAATTAAAATAAATTAATAATTAAGATAACATGAAAAATCAACTATCTGGCCAGGCTAAGGCCGCCTAGAAGTACTTCAACACATTCTAATAGTTCCTTAATAAATTTTAATTTTCATTTATACTCAAAGGTAATTATTGTTTATTGAAGATTTTAAAACTTTCTGGTGTACTTTTTAATTCTTCAATTGAATATGATTGTTTTATTTTAATTAAAATTTTTATTGATATTCATTTTCATTATATATTTATATTTATTTTCACTACTGAACTCTTCATGATGGGTTGTACCGGTATGGTCTTTTTTTTCTTTATTATTGTTTAAAATAATATCAATTTAATTGTTACACCATAGGTACTTCTTCGAAATGTTCAAACTTCTTTCTAAACCTTTTATAATATTGTAGTACAGATCCCTTTTCCAGCTCTTAGAATAGATACAGCACTAAGTGTGTTGAATAGACTATCTTGATAATATCATATTGTGTGTACCATTAAACATATTTTGCTGATGAATGAATGAAAAAATAATTTTATTTTGGGACTACAGTCCCCTAAGAATAATAACAAAGTTACATAATTAAGAACATAAGTCTGGCTTAGATGAATACAACATGATGCCTAATTAACTGTTGATTATTATTGCAGTTGTATAGTTGATTGAATGAGACTTCGTACTGATGAAAGTGAATTTTACATGTTTGCGGAAGTTTTATTATGGAGTAGGTGGTGAAACAGGTATTATTTGAAGGCATTTGTGGACGAGGATTGACATATGGAGGTAGGTAGAGAGTTCCAAAAGGAGATAGCACAAATGATGAAGGATTTTCTGAAGGAAGTAGTTTTATGGGAGAGAATATATAAATCTATAGGTTGAGAACTGGTATTGAGAGAGTGGATAGAAGATCGTTGAGTAAGGATTTCCAGGATGTAGGGAGGAAAGGAAAGGAAAACATCAAGGAGGAATTGCCGTCGGGAAATAGGATAAAGCCACTTCAACTCGGTGTACCACAATGAAACATGGGAACGCCTGGGGATCCCAAAGATGTATCTTATGAAACATTTCATGAGTTTCTTCAGTCCCATTTCTAGTCTGGCAGATAGCCTTCCATTTACCAAGCAGCCATAGTTAGAGTGGGGGAATATACCGGAGGTTACAAGGAGCAAGAAGAAATAGTATTGTATCTATTGTTGTTTTACTGTAACTATTTTGATTTTTCACATAATTTTTATACCTGATGCTAATCCCACCACTTTAATATGAGCCAATTCATATTAATTTTCCTATATTTATTAATAAAGTTTTTTTTTTACAGACTAGAAACCCCCATGCTGTGCAGCCATTTTTGAATAAATGTTTTGATGCTATGGCAAAAATAGAATTTTGTAGTAAACTGGTGCTGTCTGAAGGAGCTGAATTAATAAATGATGCTTTGAGCTTTACATCCATTCCAGAAAGTTCTGAAGTTGTTATGACTAATGATATAAGAGCCATGATTTCTTCTGAAGGTGAAAAGGTCAAATTTGTAAAGGTAATCTATATTTTAATGATATTTCATCTATGTTCTATACTTTTATGGTATTCCTATTTGAAGTTCATACACAGTATAAAATATTTTCAAATTCATTCTAGATACTTGGTAAAAAAAAATTCTTCAATTTTATAGAAATTCATTATTTTCTATTCATAAAAATATGTTGAATCAGGCCTGGCCAAACGGCTTCATGTTTCCATTATGAGATAAAATCAGTTATCGCTTGGCCTCCAACTGATGTAGTCAGTTGATGCCCAGCCTTCAGCAGATACACTTTATGTCCTGCAACCAGTTGTTCCTTCTTAGTTTGAGACCAGACAAGATTTCCCGCCGATACAGTTTAATTTGTTTCCTGTTATTTTTGGAAAATATTTAGTTCAAAATTAAGCATCGCAATTTACTTATGCTATTCCAACAGTTGATCAGAAAAGAACCAGGACTATTATCAAGAAAAGAAATGAACAGCTGAGTTGGGCATATTGTTCTCACAATTACAGATACAAAATACATATTGACAAAAGTATTCATGAATACCAACTACAATTGTATTTAATACTCGTGTGTGATAGCAAATACCGATTATATTTATATTCTGTATTCACATATCGTAACAAGTACCAAGTATTATTGTATTTGATTAAAGGATAAAAGTATTTGATTAACATATGATTAAATTTTCAGATACAATGCCAAATAATGTCTCAGATTGAATTTATTTACTATAGCCGTGTGAATTTGTAAAATTTGTTGAAATAAAATTTAAGAAATTAAAACTGGAGAAACAACTCAGCACTTTGATGTTTTATGAGTATAAAAAGTTTTCCAAGGACTTTATATATTTCCAATTTACATCTAGAGGCTAAATGAGAAATTAATTCAAAAAGAGTATTAAAAATGTATTAATATTAATAATATTCAAAAATTAGATTTTCTCTGCCACTGGGGTTTGACATCATGTCATCTGAAGTTCAACATCATGTCATCTGAGGTATAGATTTTGAAAATAAAATATATTTTGGAATTCTATGCTCCCATACCGATTTAATTTAATTTATTATTGTTGTATTTTTCTTTATCAAGCTCACATATTATTTTATGCAAGGTGTATATTTTTAAAATAAACAAAAACTGATTTCGAGATCACCTGCCTCCGAAATGATTTACTATATAAAGTCTATTTACTATTTTATTGGCAGTTTATTTTTGAAAATACAATCAATATTACAATTTTTTCGTTATGTATCGATTTATTTTAGCTTAGAGGATTTCTTCATAGTTAAGATCCAATATCATGCTGGAAGTATGATATCCAAGACCCAAATTTAAAAAAAAAAATGAGATACCTAGATTCCGTATTAATTTATTTATCAGATTTCTTCGATGTTAAGATCTATTATAGGTTTAGAAAAGTGCGGTTTTTACAAAGGGTCAGTTGAAGAAGGTGAAACCATTCAAATACGGTGGATGTCGTTTCTCCGGTGAGCTGGAATTTGATGATAGTTGTGTGGGTAGGATAAGTCGAAATATGAAAAAACTTGTTAAGTTCGAATCTCCTTAAGCCAAATCAAAAACTCAATATAGTAAACGGGTACGTGTTTCCTTATTAATATATTCACTACAGTCAGTGCCATTGACGAAATTGCCTTCATCATTATTGGAGTCTATGGAGTTCATAATAAGAAGAAGTGTAAAAGCGATGATCGGATTGCCAACTCATGCTCCGCTATGATATATGCTCTGCACCACAACAGGGGCCTAGGTCTTTTGCTGTGTCAGTGGGAGGCTCCATTTCAGCATTTGGTCTATATCCCAATAATTGGAAAATGTATCGGATGCTCTATTTCAGAAGATTTTTGGTTTCATGGGTGAAGTTCAAAAGTGTGTTGATCTGTTGGGATTCGAATCAAATACTATAGAAGCGTCACTATCAGTCAGGAAAGTTAGGCAGTCCCTGAGGGAAATATTGTTTGAGGGTTGGGGTAAATGTAAATGGCAGAGAATAGGTGTGCCACATTTTAAATCAAACCAATGGGCTAACAGGTTTATGTATGACAGAAAGATCCTTACGGGCTCGGAGTGGACGAATGCTTTGAAATTAAACATGAACTATGCGCCTCTTCTTGGAGTTCCAGGAATTGGAGGCCAGGCGAATGGAGATGTTGGACCCCTCTGCTCCAAATGTGGCCAAGAGCCAGAAACCCCAGCTCATATACTGGAAAAATATCCGAATAACATGCTACTTGTCACCCGCTGGCACAATAATGTAAAGCATCGAGTTGCCGAATTCCTAGAGTTCGTTGTGACAGTCATAAGAAGAAAGAAAATTGAGTGTAGCAATAAGAAAATAAAGGATAACATTCAGTACTTTGAATGATAGTCCTGCAAAACTCTAACCTTTGTTCCCTCTCATTAAATGTTATCTATTAGGATTGATGAATATGCTGAGTGTTGTAGCAACTCATCGTAGTTGAGCAGCTGTACAGCTTTGTTGTACTTTTCTCTATTAAATATATAAATAAATCGTAACAATATATTAATGCAAAATTGTATTTACAAATAACTCCAAACTATGTCCTTTTTTTTGTCGAATAGATATAATATTATTTTTAAAGTTAATAAAACTTCCTACTAAACAAAAAATTATCGAAATTAAACCATTTGTTGTTGATATATAATTGGTACATATAACTCCTTGGAAATATAGTTTCCTTTGTTTTCTTTTTTGATAGCTCAAAAGCTATAAAACTATTGGAAGATTTCTGATGCTTGGTTGAAAATTATTTTAATTATCTACATAGATATATATAAAAAAAAAATATATACATATGTGTTGAGAAAACTCAATCCAATCGTAACATAGAATAGCATTTGGTAAGGAAAGAAATGAGTGGAACCATCACACATATTTGATTTATAAAATTTCAAATTCAAATAAATTTCCTCAGTTAGGTATTAATGATGAAACAATTAAATGTGTTTTCCTGTTTTTCAGACAACAATAAGAGGTATTAATACAACCCCAGTGGTTGTGTTTTCATGCTCACCTTGTTTTTATTTAGTATTTCTCAAAAATAGGAACATAACCCTCCAACATCTACTTATTTTAACATAAAATAATAAAAGGGTTATTTAATTTTTTTTTTCGCTCAAGTTATTGATATTAATTTAAACTTTCTATGAAGTTTAGAAAGAAAATATTATTTGCGTTGTTTGGATAGTTTTATAGCAAATATTTTTGCAATTTATTGGAGTGGCATATATGTGTTATTAAGTTTATTCATGTTTTCCTTGTTATATTATGTGTATTGGATATTATTATTTTGAAGAAGATAAAACAATTATTATTAATCTCATGATTATATTATTATTAGAGATTGAAAGCACAAGGAAATGTTGAAGATTGGTTAGGAAAAGTGGAAGATGCCATGTTTTCATCATTATATCGATTAATGAAATTAGCTCTTGATGACTTTCATACCAAGAAAAGAACTGATTGGGTTTTATGTCATGCATCACAGGTATCATTTTAATAAGTGTTTTTATTTTCATTAAAGAGTCAGTCCATTGGAAATCACCCAGACCAGAAAAACATTTTAAAAAATTTAAGGTTCAGTTTCTTCTCAGCGGCTATTTTTGAATTTGCTTTTTGACTGAAAACTTGTTCTGAAAAAATGCCTGTAACTCTGGGAAATTCGTTGATATCAAACCAAAATAAAATAATGTAGAATATTTTTTCTACATTTCTGTTCATCAACACATCATCTAAGAAGAACGGAAAGTGGTTTTAAAAAATCATGAAAATAGATATAAAACGAGACTTTATTACACTTAGCACTGCAAAAGTGTAATAAAGAAAAGAGTCAACCTCAATTATTTTTAAATTGCATTATTTAAATTATGAATAAGCATCCTGCAATTTAAAATAGTGGAACTGAATTTTTTTTTTCTCTCTAATTTTAGTTTTATCAATAAAAAAAAATCTGTGGTAGGTATATAAGTTTTCGCTGTAGTGACAGCTACTATCAAGTCAACAGGTGTTTGTAAGTGCCTAAACTGTTCCAATAGCTCCAATTAACCTTAACACTTTAACAACTAGATTAGCGGAAATCATAGTTCTAAAATTGATTAATATGATTGTGTAATGTTTATTTCTGAACTTATAATTGTTTCTATCTATTTGTTATTAAATTAATTTTGACAGAATAAAAGGTATTTACCACTTAAGTGAAAATAATAATGTAAGAATCTATAAATGTATAATAATGTAAACAGATAACAATAAATAAATATATAACATAAATATTTATCCATTATTAAGCAATTCGATACATGAAAATACTGGGTAGAATCGAGTTTGATTTCAGATATAAAAATTACACATCCGTATTAATCGTTTTTAAAACAATTATCCCCTCCTTCCTTCCCTCTCCCCAAGCACAAATACAGTTATTAAGGTGACAGCTCATTGTTTAAGCACTGATTTACATCTGTTGATGTGTTAGTATCTGTCACTGCAACGGAAACTTATTTATAATAAATAATATAAATAAAAATAAATAATATAAATATAATAAATAAATAAATATAATAGCTACCACAGAATTTGTGTAATGATAAACTAAAAAAAAAATTCAGTTTCACAATTTTATATTGCAGGATGCTTATTCATCGTTTAAATAATGCAATTTCCAGACATATTTCATATGATGTATCTTTATACAACTTTCACAATTTTTCATTAGTCCTTTTTATGTTATTCAAATTCAAAATTCGACGAACATGACTTTTGACGGTTTTTGAAAATTAATATCTAAAAAAGTACAAGGTGTTCAAGATTGAAATTTCATCAGCAAGTAGTACAGAGATTGGACTACATATAAAAAATAAATTAAAGTTGATACTCTATTCATTATTACTGTATTGCAGCGCTAAACATCTCGTTTTATGTTTATTTTAATTTTTTAGTTGATTTTTTTGAAACTGTTTCCTTTCTTTTTAGATGGTGTATTGATGGACAGAAATGTAGAAAAAATACCTTGCATTATTTCAGTTTATATTTTGATTTGAATCTCTACCCAATTATTAGAGTAAAAGACTTTTTCCCAAAAAATGTTTTCAGTCGAAAAGCAAATTCAAAATGGCTTCTGAGAAAAACTGTGAGCCTTAAAATTGTTTTAACTATGGTATTGATCTCTTAAATAAACATGGAATAACTGCTAAAAAAATTATAAAAACAAAAATCTCGAGCAACAAAATTAATTCAAATTGAGTGATTTAAAATAGATTGACTCTAAAAATAATTTTATTAATTTTAAAAATATTTTTTAAAATTAAATATTTAAATAAATAAATAAGTAATTTTAACTATAATAGTGAGTTGATTCAGCAAGGATCTGATTATCAATAATCCTATAAAGAATATTATTGTGTTAATAATAAACTATACAAGAATATATAACCATGACTACTCCATCATTTGAGATGATGACTTTTAAAATCAACTTAAGGGCCAGTTGCACAATTCATGGTTTTAACCAAGATTCAGTTATCTCAACTTAATCTATCAGTAACAGCTCAGCTCTGTTATCACTACTTTCGGTCGTTGGTAAAAAGTTGAATCTAAACCGAGATGTAGAAAGAAAGTAGGAGGTTATTGATAGGTTTTTCTGCAGTTCTTTGTTGTGTGAGTTTCTCAACGTCAAGTGTTTGTTTTCGTTTAACGAAAGTCAAAGTTGAATTAATTTGTGTTAATTAGTGTTAGTTATCAAAAAATGTATATCTAAATATATCAAAAAAATCGTCATCAGATCAATGGAGCAAATGATTCATCCAAGAATGTTATACTTTTATCTCCATTAGTAAAAATGCAATTAAATCAAGGAAATCCTCATCATCTGTGAGGTTGTCAAAATCTAGCATATCTATTTTTGCAAGAAAAAAGATAACTTTTGTTCTATGAGCATTATATTTTCGGTTCAAATTTTTTTGCAGGATAGAGTCATATGTAATTTTATATATTGTAAATGTTATTACTTCGTGAATATATAACAAAAAAAGGTTATACACAATTAAAATTGTTTATATTCCTGGGCGACCAAATGAATGAAGACATGGATCACACAGAGGACCTCAACCCAGAAGAGGTTGAAAAACCAGATATACTGGATGTAGAAATACTATCGAAAGGCTTAAAACAAGAAAGGTTCCATTGATGGACAAACTGCCATCAGAATTGATTAAAGATGAGAGAGACAACTTAAAAGCGAAGCTACTACAACTAATCCAGAAAATATACAGGCCTAATCTATCCTATCCTAAAGAAAGGCTCCGTGTATGAGTGTAGTAATTATAGAGGTTTAGCACTCCTTCTGGTTGCCTACAAGATAATGACCAATATTTTAGTATTGGTCATTATCTTGCAAAATCCTACTAAACCGGATATATCCATATTAGGAAACTATAATAGACGACCACCAAGCTGTATTCAGAAAAGGAAGGAGCACACTAGACCACATCTTCATCCTAAAACAAGTAATTCAAAAACGATAGGAAGTAGCAGCTCAGGAACTCCACGCCCTATTTGTCGATTTCAAAGCAGCCTACGATTCTGTGGACAGAAACTGTCTTTGGAAATCATGACTGAACTAGGAGTTCCCGGTAAGTTGGTGAGATTGACAAAGATGTGTAGAAATGACCCTAAATGTCGAGTCCTAATACAAGGAAAAATATCTGAAGCCTTTAACGTTCGAATGGGCTTACGGCACGGAGATGGAATCTGGCCGATGCTGTTCAACTTAGCAATAGAGAAAGTAATAAGAATAACATCACGCGAAGATGGAGGGGTGCACCTCAGAATGGAACACAAAATCCTAGCATATGCCAATGATACAGCTGTCCTTGGAAGTAATCAAGAGGATATTGAAAGCCTCGCTCGGACTCTGTTAAAAGAAGCAGAGCAAATCGGACTACAAGTCAATGTAGATAAAACAAAATACATGATAGTTAGCCGAAATATCCACCCTAATAACATGAACTACGTGAACTCTAAGCCATTCCCGAAAATAGACAGATTCAAATACCTCGGTTCCACAATAACCTCAATAAATGATCAACTAACAGAGATAGACCAGCGAATAACAAATACGAACAGATCTTTCTCCTCTCTTTCAATGGTACGGAAATCCAGAAATCTAAAAATAAGGGTGTACACTGCCGTGATTAAGCCAGTTCTGCTGTACGGTTTTGAATCCTGAGCTCTAACCGGCATACTAGAAGCCAGAATTAAGAGATTCGAAAGAAAAGTTCTACGTTTTTTAAAGATTATTTGGTAGAAATACGATCAAAAAAGTTATATAGAGCATTACGTATTTGTCTTTATCCTGCAAAAAAATTTGAACCTAAAATATAATGCTCATAGAACAAAATTTATGCAGTGTAGTATGACCAGATTAGCAATAATAGTTAATATAATTCTAGTGTCATATGTTAGATAAAAAAAAAAAATCAAAAATAACTTAATCTAAGTCCAATCCAGTAGCAGATACAAATGGCTATTATATATCGTTTTACTGGTGCTGTAAAACAATTTATACATCTATCTCTCTACTCCGATGTCTACATGACTGTGAACATGAGAATATCCAAAATTATCCCTGGAAGACTAGGTCCAAAATGTGAGATTATCTCCGTTACTAAAAATAATTAAATATATCATTGTAATTTACCCTTTTGTAAATAATTGGAGTATTAAATAAAAATTAATTCTCACCGATACAACAGAAAGCCTCTCCTTGGACTTTTCAAGCGATTTTCTTTGTTAATTTCATTCACATTACGGTATTACAAAACAAGTACGCTATGCAAGAACGAAAGACAAGTGACTCTTCAATCATCTGTAATCACCTGGACATAAATTACTATAACCATGGGCTGCCATGTTACATTGGCTGTCGATATATTATATAATATAAGACATATCATCTTTGTATCCAAGTATTTTATCCAAATAATAGTAAATAATCTGAAAATTATTTGTATGTGTAAATTGTACATTTGAACAATATGTATTTCTTTTGCAGATAATACTAGCTGTTTCTCAAATTATGTGGGCTAGAAACGTTCATTTAATACTGAATCCTAGTAATGAAGATATATTGAGAGGTGTAATGAATTTTGAAAAGAAATGTTTTGGTGATTTAAATGATTTAGCATCGCTTGTTCGAGGAAATTTGAAGTCTATTCATCGTACTACGTTAGGAGCATTAATCACTATTGATGTTCATGCGAGAGATATCATCAGTGGCCTTGTACAAATGAAAGTTGATAATAGGTATTAGAATTTCAGCTATGTTAATTATAATTAGATCATCTGCAGGAATTATTTTGTAAATCGATTTTTGAAAAAATATTAAAAATTTGGGAAAAAAGTTTAGAGTATTAATAAAAAACAATTTCAAAAATCAACTTAAATCAGCCTAACTTTTTTATTCATTGCAGTAGGTTTTATTTTTGAACCTACCTACTAACATTTTGGAAAATGTAGAGTAAAATTATTTAATTTACTTTTTATTCATAGCATCAGTGATTAAATGAAGAAAGGAATATTTTTATTTTACTTATGTTGTATTAGGGCTTCAATAGTTCAAATAATATGATTAAAACTTAAATATTGCATGTGTTTTTTTAATGTTAAGGAGAGGACAATTGTCACAAAAGAAAATCAGTGAATTTTTTATAATTTTATCATTTATTTAAAATACAAAAAAATTCCATGTTACTCCTAGTATCTGAGTATATGTCACAAAATGAATACATTTATGAAAATAAACTTTTTTTAAATAATATCTTTTTTTTATAATACAAGTGTCTTGAACATTTCTTTCCTTACCTTACTTTGCAGATCTACTGCCCGGGGTGGGCCTTGGCTTCCTGGATTATAACATGCCAATCATCTCTATTGCTTGCTCTTTCCTTCCAGTTTCTCACATCCAGTGTTTTTTAAGGTCGCTCTCAACATCTTGTAACCATCTTTTCCTTGGTCTTCCTTTTCTTCTTGTGGCATACGTTGTAGATAACAATGCCCTATAAGGCATCCTGCTGTTGTCCATTCTAACCACGTGCCCTAATCATTCCATGCACCTAGTTTTAACGAAATGAACTATGTTACCTCTATTATATAGTTCAAATAGCTCTGAATTTTTTCTATATCTCCACACACCCTCTTCACAAACAGCTCCATAAATTCTTTTCAATATTTTTCTTTCAAAGATATTTAGCATGCTAATTGTGCTTGTACAAAGGGTCCATGTCTCCGTTGCATAAGTCACAATAGGTCTTACTAAAGTCTTATATAATCTTATCTTTGTTTCTCGTGACAGAAGTGATAATCGGAAAAATTTTAGGTTGGCATAGTACACCCGTTTTCCAGCCATGATCCTCTTGTACACCTCAGCAGCAATTTTATTTTTAGAACTCACTTCCACCCCCAGGCACATGAATTTTTTGACACACTCAAAGGTAACACCACATATTTTAATGCTCTGTGGACCAGCCTCATTGTCGGTCTTGACATACATTTGTTTTGATTAATTTCCAGCCCTACATTTTCACTTTCGGCTTTCAATATTTCCTTCAATAACCTCAAATTCCTGGTAATTAGGCATATATAGTCTGTGTAAGTACATATTTGCACCATTGGGTTAAGTATGCAACCAAGCAAATTCAGTTTTTTCAAAACATTATTAAGTGCTTGCAATATTAAATAATGTGGCAGACAAAGCATCCCCTTGTCTAACCCCATCCGTCATTGGAAAGTTATTGCTTACGTTGCCTTTAATAATTACTTTTACATTGCTATTATTCATAGTCATTTGCAATAACCTTATTAATTTTTTTAGAATTTGGGACTCATGTAAGGCATTTATTAATTTGCTTCTTATCACTCTATCGAAAGCTTGCCAGTAATCTATGAACAACATATGCAGGTCAATCTTATTTTCCCAGGCTTTTTGCATTTTCTGTCTCATCACAAAAAAAGAGAAATTCCTCTATTTTCTTTTTAATAGGAGTTAAATCATTTCCAATAAACAATCAATAGAACCATTTCTTTTAATAGGAGTTAAGAAAAGAAAAGTTGAAAACAAAAAGAAAATCAGAAGTTGTTCTTTTTGTTATATATTTTTATTATAATGTGTAAATACTGAGCAATTGTAAATAGTATAATAAATTTGAAAGATAGAGATGTTCTGAATGAACCTAAAATATATATAGTTTTGGAATGTCTCTTGTGGACAATATTAATATTCACCACGGCTGAATGAATTCAGCTGCTGTTCCAGAGAATACTCATTAAGTAGTCGACACAGAGGATTTTAATTCTCAATCTCAGTCATTCTCCCTAATTTTTTGTTATCGCAAGCTCTTAAGACTTGTTCTCTTCAGCTTGTCTCTGCATGGTATGGTTGCACTGTGATGGGCTGAACTGTGAAATTTAAATAACAGGTTACAGATTAAGAGTTATCAAATTATGTATTCCAGTTACAGGTTATTTTAATAACATATGAGTTCACCATGTCATACTGTTTATTAGCTATATTTATTATACTGTAAATTATTAATGAGAAAAGGTACTTTAGAAAACTATTTTATAGAAAATATAAGTAAAAAAATTCGTTCATAACTTCTTTTATCATACAGATTATTGGGTGAACATTATTTTTTATATTTACAAATCATCTTAATTAATCTGAAATGTAATCATTAATATACAAGAATTACTTATCATTAAATCATTAATTAATAATTATATTTTAGTTAATTGGTTTATAATAATTGCTGTAGGATAATCAAATTATTTTTTTCAATTAATGGGTACTGATTCTTTATTATTTTAATAAGGGTGAAATTCCCTAACTTATTGGAAGCTGTAGAGATAATAAATTGCGTTGATTTAGATATTTAATATCAATTATTAATCCAATGTCATCATCTCCGGCGATTTTAATGTAAATATGCTCTCAGAATTTCCCAAAAAAATACTTCCTCACTGTCCTAATATTTTCTCTTAATCTTTACCTTGTACCTTATTCTCCCACTCATCACACATAGTTCTCTGACACCTGGCTAGACCTTCACATTTCTGACTCACCCCTTAAAATCCTTTCCTCCTCTCAACACCCCGTACCCTTTCTATCATCACACGACCTGATCCAAATTTCCTACGACCTACCCGTGAAATCATTTACTCCCAAAATAGTGTCATCGCAATTTAAACCTTCTTTCATATGAATCCCTTCAACCTGACCTTGATCTGTCCAATGGGATACCATATTTTCCTATACCTTCATTGATCCTATGATATCCACCCTTACATCAAATAATCCATATTAGACATCCATGCTCCTCTGAAAACCAGAATCTTACGTTGTCCCACTGCTCCTTGGCTGACTCCTGAAATAAAGGAAATGATAAAGAGAAGGAATGCAGCAAGGCACGAATACCTTCAAACCTGTTTATCTGCTGATTATGCGTCTTTCAAACAACTTCGTAATGCAACCCAATCCACAATCCGACTTGCTAAATCTAACTATTTCCATAATGCCCTTTCCATTGCTCCCGATTCCAAATCAAAATGGAAAATACTTCGTAATCTATCCATACCAGATTCCAATAACCTCATTTTCCTCCCTGTGACTTCAGATGATCTTAACGACCATTTTTTACCTTTTGCTTCTAATCCTTCTCCTACTCATGATATTGAACACCACAATTTCAATCCTTAAAACTTCTTGTTTTCCCATGTATCCTACGACGAAGTACTTTCCACTATCCTAAAATCCCGCACCAATGATTATGGTCCTGACAATATTCTAGTAAAACTAATATAATCCAGCCTTTCTACCCTTATGCCAGTACTTTATCATATCTACAACTTTTCATTGCAAAATTCCATATTCCCCTCTTTCTGGAAAACTGCACTAGTCCGAACTTTGAATAGAACTTCTAACCCTTCTTCACTGAACGACTTCCGTTCTATTTCTCTTCTTTCCAACTTCTCAAAATCACTGGAACGCCCTGTCCAAAATCAACTTTCTACCTTAGTATATTATAAACATTATACTAATGTGCTTTCTAACAACATTCAAGAATGAAGGAGTTATTTCAAAAATCTAGTTATACTAGTAACACGTTAAATGCTATTTATTATGTATTTATGCTTTATTTTAGAACCTTAAGTTATTTCAACCCCACCACTGCCAATAACTGCTGCCTACCGTTTTATTTACCTTTCTCTTTTTTCTTTGCAACATAACTTGGCAGATTCCCAGTGATTATGTCCCGTTTATTTCCTCCATTCTATTACTATCTTGTACCTACCTGTTGTCTTACTCTTATCAAATTATGAGAAAATGCAGTATTGAAGCCTTCAATAAACATCGCCTTAATAAAAATTCAGAAAATATGTTGGTAAGTTACCATTTAAAAATGTCAGGTATATGTTAATCCTTAATCCCACTGTTCTTCACATACTATATTACATTATCTGGTTGCAGACTATGCACAACATCATTGTTTATAACTACATTTTTTACATGCATATTCTTGAATGAGTAAAACACTCCTTTTCTCTTAAACATTGTTTTTACAAACATATAGAATTGATTTTTGAGCTTGTTAGTTTGGTATTTTATATTATGTACTAAAAATAGAAACTACTATATAATGAAATACTTCTTCATTTATTATTCATGAATTATTAGTATTCATGAAACATTCATTATAAAAATAATGGATTAACGATAATTTAATTTTTCAGCAATAGTTTTGATTGGGTGAAACAGTTAAGATATTATTGGGACCAGGCCATTGATACTTGTGTTGCTTGCATGGCTAGTGCAAGGCATGTCTATGGTTTTGAGTATCTTGGAGTTACAGCGAGATTAGTTATTACACCATTAACAGACAAGTGTTACCTTTGCCTTATGGGGGCTTTGCAATTGGATTTAGGTATTTAAAAAACTATATTATTTAGCTTTTGGCGTATAAACTTATAAATTATTATTTTTTATATGATTTATCTCTCTCCGTAATATTTATATTTGAGGGAAAAAAAGGTCAATGTTTTTGTCTGATATTATTTATATCAATATTGAAATTTAACTATCAACTTCTATTCGACTAAAGATTGCACCAGAAATGTCATGAATAATTTATGCTAGAAAATGTTTAAAAAGAATGGAGGCAACGTAATTTGTCTTGTTCCTATTAATAATTTTTTTATTTACAAATATTAATATATTGACTCTTTATTTTGTCATAAGTCACATAAATATTTATATAATAACATAAATATATTAATATTTAATTGTTTCTAATAAAGGTATTGCAAATATTAAATGTTAATCCTCTTTCCATTGTTTTAAAGATCAAAAATATCAAGACACAAAATATCAATATTTTATATCCGTACTCTTTAAAGTTTAAACATACTGAGGGTTGATATATTGATGAATACTACTCAAAAATGAAAAGCGATAATGTTTGTTATGTGCGATTTATTTTCCCTAGAATTTTTATTTTATTTTTGTTATAAATTACATTGAAAATAAACAAAAATAAGATTGTATTTGACTTCAGGAAATTTTATAAAAGGTTTTTTAAAAAAGTAATGAAATTAAAAGTTTTTATGATTGCAGATTGTAAGAATTTTGTCAAATTTAATAATTTGTGTAATATCTTCTGTTACCCACTACCTATCTGCACTTAATTGGCATACTTTTTATAAAGTCACTGATTTCATAAGGAATTTCAAATCATAAACATGGTAATACTCTACTCAGCTGCTGAAGGTTAAGAAGTTGCAGATAGTGGTCCAAATGCCTCGTCTGCAGTTAATTCCATAGGTGCTCAATGGGATTGAGATCTGGAGACAATACAGAAAGTGGCAGATGTGAAATATTATTTTTAAGACAATGATGAACAACTTTCTTCCAATAGGTCGCATATTGTCATCATGAAAATGAAAATCTAATCTATACCAATTATGGCCCTGCTTTGAGGAATGTACTCCTCTATAATTTCTTGAAAATAACGAACTGGAATGAGAGAGTACATTTCACAATATAGAGTAGAGTCTCTTGAGTATATGCCGGCCCATACCATCACACTCCCACCTCTAGACTGCATTGAAGGAAGCACAAACTGGCAGTGTACCCATTCCCTGTTTTTAGAAGACTCTTTGGCACTTACAATCGCTATTAAACAGAAACGCGACTTGTCTGGCATCATTCCATATACAACATTCCAATTTGTATCCTCGTCTAGGCGCTCACTGCACCATAATCTACGAATACGCTGTTAGTGCAAGTCATCTTAACACGTTAGCTGTGGTTATGGTCCCCGGGGTTCGTTATTCGTTTCAACTACCAAATGTTTGGGATTGTTTTGAATTTTGTCTATCTTACAAAATCTCTAAAAAAGTAATTTTTTAAAATATTTGAGTTGGAGTTGGATAGACGTAAACCTACGAGCGTAAATAATCATTATATCTGATAAAAGTTTTCAGACGCCAGGGACTGATACCGCCATCATCATCATCATGAATGGCTCTACCACTCTTGCAGAGTTAAGGCCTCCCGCAATTTCAACCTCCAGTCCTCTCCAAGTAATGCCGCTGCCTTCCAGTTGTGGACACCAAGGATACTTCGGGCGTCGGCTTCCACCACATCAGCCCATCTGAGTCTTGGTCTGCCCACCCGCCTTGTGGCGAAGATCCGCTCATCCATCAGCTTCCTTAGCACATGTTGTTCAGACATACGGAGAATGTGTCCTGCCCATGTCAACCTGCCAATTTTCATTAGCCTCACAACATGGGCTTCTCTATATAGCTGCATCAGCTCATTGTTGGATCACATACGTCACTCCTGATTAATATTTATTATTGGGCCAAATATTCATCTTAGGACACGACATTCAAATCGAAAGAGAGCTGTTTCTTGGGCTCTTGACATTGTCCAGTACTCAGACCCATATGTAAGTACTGGTCTGATCAGGGTTTTGTACAGGAGCAGCTTGGTTTTACGAGAAACCACTCTGCTTTTGAGATGTCCCTGGAGACCAAAATAAGCTCTATTTGTGGCCATGATGCGCCTCTGTATTTAAGAATTCATGTTGTTATTCCCATTCATTTAAGAGCCAAGGTATATAAATTCTGAGACATCTTCAAAAGTCATCCTTCCGATTTCTACATTTGCCTCTCTGTGGCCTCCACCCTTTGGGTTGGCCCGCATAAACTTTGTTTTCTTCTCATTGATCTTTAAGCCAATTCTCGCTGCCGCTCCTTTTAGTGCTAAGAAAGCATCTTTTATAGCCGTCCGTGTTCTTCCAACCAATGCAATGTCATCGGCAAACCCCAGTAATTGCACTGAATTATTAAAGACCATTCCTCCATTGTGAATTTGGGATCTTCTAATGGCACATTCGATGGCAATTGTTAAATAGGAGACACGCTTAGCAATCTCCTTGGCGCAGTTCTTTCTGCATTGAAAGTAGTCCGACATATCGCCTTGGATATTGACAGTGCATTGCACCTCCTTCATTGTCACTTGTATCAGTCGCACAAGTTTAGGTGGGACATCTATATATATATATATATTTTTTTTTTTTTTTTTTTTTTTTTTTTTTTCTTTTTGGATAGAAGTAGATATTACTTTTATCTAGATAGAAGTAGTACATTGCTGACTAACTGGGTATTCTGCTCAGAGTGTGGTCTTCTGTCCACCTCCCTTTAGGAAGGATCCTCTGCATTCTCATTTGGGATGAATACTCAAGTGTATAAGTTCACTTAATGTTTTCTTTACTTTTTTATACTTTTTTTTATTGTTTTATATCTTGGCCAGAAGTGATCTTGTATTTTTGTCCGATGTCGTTATTATCAAGGGACTTTGTCCCAGAATAAAGTTATTTTCTGTTCTATTCTATATGTTACATTGAATGCTGAAATCACATAGTCCTCGACACATTTTATGAATTTCAATTTTGAGTTCTTCTTGTGTTGTATCAAAGGTGTAACTTGGTCTTCATACCTTTATGATGAAAGCACTGGAATCTGCTTGAGTCTGGCACTGTCCTAAGAAGGAATTTAATTATTTATCTTCAAGTTATATTATTAGATCATGGCTTTTTTATAACTGGCTGCTGTCTTTATTATTGTAGGGGAAACTAGCATGAGAAGTGGACTTGTTAGTTCATTTGGAATTGCTAGAGTATGTACCCCAGGAAGTATCCAAATTCATTTCATGATAATATCACAAAATAATTATTAGATAACATAAATGGAAATCAAGCTTTACTACTCTGAATTTTGTTTTCTATTACCTCTTACTACTAGCTATTTTTATGTTAAAAGTTAAACTAAATTAGCTTATATATTAAAAAAAAATAATTTAAGGGGTTTCAGGTTTTATTTTAATATTTTTTTTAAAATGTTATTACTTACGATTATTTCTAAATTCAGGAGGTGCTCCAGCTGGACCTGCTGGGACAGGAAAAACTGAAACAACCAAAGATCTAGCGAAAGCGTTAGCTATCCAATGCGTTGTTTTTAATTGCTCTGAACAAATTGATTATAAGGTAAATATTTTGATTAATTTCTTACAAAGTATAATTTTCATTAATATTGCTTATTCACTACCGAAGGTAGGGAAGCATTGTATTCGTGCGAGAGATTAAAAAAAAATTTGTGCTCAGAATCGAAAATTTTCCCTCGCGTTTTATGTTTCAGATATCAAGGATAAAATTTGGTTCGGTGCCTGTCTATCTTTTTTTTTTTCCCTTCTGTTCTTCCCTACCTCTCCATTTAGGCTATATAGTATTTCCCCAGGCCGGAGGGTGAGGGCGGGGAATTTAAAATCCCCTCCGGCACCGGGACGCAAACTCGTACTTATTTTTGTCTCTCAAAACTTCATATATCTTCACCCCGCCTCCAGTGTCTGTCTATCTTTTTTTTTTTTTTTTTTTTTTTCTTCTCTACCTCGCCTTTTAGGCTATACGGGATTTTCCCGGGCCGGGGGGTGAGGGCGGGGAAATTTAAAATCCCCTCCGGCACCGGGACGCGAACTCGTACTTTTTATATCATCTCAAATCTCTGTTATCCGGTTGCCAGGCAACTAGCGGTGCTGTTACACACGCTTTAGCCTATTCGGCCACCCCGCCCCCAAAAAGTAAGTAGTGCCTGTCTATCTGTAGTCAAATCAATGTAATGGGCATATCACCTACTACCGTTCATTCAATTTTCAGAAATTCTGTGGATTGGTGTCTAGATGTTCCCATATCAATTTTATTAAATTCTAACCAGCACTTTCCTTTATGCACGCGCAAACGCATTTTTGTAGATATGCCAATATTTCAGAAATGGCTTGTTCGATTTGGATAAAAGGTAGGTATTTGTAAAAAAATAATGTAGGGTAAATTTTATTGAATTCTGTCCTTTGCTTTCTCGTATATTTGCACAAATGTGTTTTCCTTGATACCTCTATATCTCTAAAACCACAAGTTCGATTTGGCTCAAATTTGGAGGGAATTTAGGCATGAAATGAAATAGGCATCAATTTTATCAAATTTTATCTACTGCTCCAAGAAAAAATACTTCCACTTTTAGATCAGGAAATGTGTTATTTGATATGCCTATAGTTTGAAAACGGCGCATTCGATTTGATCCAAACTTGAAGAAAATTTGGAGAACAGTATAGAAATTACTCAGTATCACTTTCATTGAATTCCATTTTTTTTTTTTTTATTTCTTAATGACATTTACAACTGTATTAAATAAATACATCTAGTAAATTTGGACATAATGGATATAATGACATGAAAACACTTGCTGAGTAACTAAGTAACCAATGGTAGCACTCTAATGATATGACTACATTAAGAGATCACAGGGCCATCTTCTTTTCAGACGCCTCGGAGGGTTATCAGGAATTGAAGAGGAAGCAAGGTTAGAAACGAGAGGGTTGGGATGATTCTGAAGTTTATTATGGAAGGATATGTATCTGGATTGGGCTAGATCTGAAACATAAGGAACATTAAGGTCTTTATGGATGATTTTATTAGTGACAAAGTAAGGAGCATTGAGGATTTTATGAAGGATTTTGGATTGTAAGGATTGGATGCAAGAGGAATTCTATGGTTTAGTGGAGCCTCATAGATCAACTCTGTAAGTCCAAATAGGCCTTATTATAGTCAAGTATATGAGTCTTTTGTAATTAATGGGAAGTTTAGAGCGTTTGTCTAGTAAGGGCTGAAGTAATCGGAAATGTCAAGCGGTTTCTTGTTGTTTCAGTCTAGTATGAGGATTCCAAGTTTGTCCAAGTTTGTCGTTTGTCCAGGTGGAGTCCTAGGTATCGGATTTGCTTAACAGAGATAAGTGGAGTATTGTTAAAGGAAACTGTAGGACAGGAAGTCGTTGGTTTACGAGGAAGGGTAAAGATAATTTGATGGGATTTATTGGAGTTTATTTTAATTCTCCAGTTTTGACACCATTCTTCAAGATTTATGATGTGTGATTAAAGCATTTGGGATGTAATTGATGGGTCATTATTTACTGATAGGATACATGTGTCATATGTGGTGATGACATTGTTGGGATAGGTAGGGATGTCAGCTGTAGGACCTAGGATACTACCTTGAAGAACACCAGCGGACTGGGAAAAAAGGGATGAATAGGCGTTTTTGTGATTTACTTTAAAGTGTCTATCAGTAAGGTAGGAACGGATAATGAGGAAGTATGTAGGTGGTAAGAATTTTCGGAGTTTGTACAGCAGTCCCGGGTGCCAAACTCTATCAAACGCCTGTTCAACGTCGAGAAAGACTCCCATACAGTACATTCCGCGCTCCAATGCAGAGGAGACTACGTCTACCACATGATGACATTACTGTATAGTGGAATGGGAAGTGCGGAATCCAAATTGGTGATCTGGGATTATGTGTTTAGAATTTAGGATAGGGTACAGGCGTTTTAAGATGAGTTTTTCTAGGATTTGCCCATGATGGGTAAAAGAGGGATAGGAGGGTAAGAGGATGGGTATTCTGCTGGTTTTTTGGGTTTGTGGATCATTTTAACAATATATCGTTTCCAAGGATCAGGAAAATATGTGGAACGGAGTACAGCATTATATATGTAAGTAAGGAATAGGATGGCTTTTCGAGGAAGAAGTTTTAGGATCTGGGATGTAATTAGGTCATGTCCAGGAGCTTTACGGGAGGGTAATTTTTGAATGATGTTGGATATTTCTGTGGGATGAAATGCTTTGGGTGGCAGGGGCATTTGGAGAAGAATATCCAGTTCTGCTTCAATACAATCGATGTGATTTGAATTAAGGATATCGGGATGTGGTTTAAAAGTTTGGAAGAGATGTTGACCAAATATTTGGGCTTTTTCTTCTTCGGATTTGGACCAGGTTTGGGAATCAGTAAGTAGCGGGTGATTAAAGTCTTGAAACTTGAGAAGTTTTTTGGTGGTCATCCATAGTGATTTGTCAGTGGTTGTAAGTTTTTCAGTTAGGTTAAGTAGTTTTTGAGCTTTAAATTTTCTAATTTCTGCTTTTAGTTTGTTAGTCAATTCAGTATAGTATGTTTTATCTGAAGGATATCTAGTCTTGTGCCACTTCGATCTTGCTCTGTGTTTTTCCCTTAATAAGATTCAAAATATGCTGTGGCAAGTTAATATGTGAGTTATTTCTTTTATTGACGGAAGTGTTATCATTTATAGTGGTTGTTATTGATATGGTAAGTTTTTCTATGGCTATGTCAATATCTTGTTTTGTCTTAAGCGGAATTTTTAAATCCAGTTTATTTTCCAGATCATCGCGAAATTTGTCCCAGTCTACTCGTCCTGTAATCAAGTTAGGAAGTAAGGGTTTAGCAGCAAGGTTTGAATATAGTAAAAGTAAAACTGGACTATGATCTGATGAAAGGTCATCCAGGGATTTGATAATGGCTTGGGAGGTCATCATGGCTTCTGGCAGGTGTCTAAAGCATGTAGGCCGTCACATTTAACACATCTGACTTCATGATAACAATAGGCCTTTGTATGCCCCAAGTTTTGACACTTAGTGCATTGTACAATTAGAGGCTTCTGTTTTGGTTCCTCAAAACAGACTATTGAATAAACTAATCGTTGAACCTGGAATATTTCAACATTGGTTTTTGTTGGTTCCAAGTCTATGAAAAATAATGGTAGCGGATATCTTTCTCTAGATTGTTAGCACAGGTGCTGTGTGCCTGACATTATGACCGATTTCTTCGAGGCCTGATTTGATAGCAGATATGGGTGTGGTTGAATGTAGTCGTCTCAGGACCACTCGATACGCCTTTTCTTGTTTTAATTGGTAACAATGGAAGTCATAGTTATTGGTTGTTAAAAAATTGATCAGTTTTTTATAATTGTCTCTAGAATTAGTATTGATTTTAATGTTGTTCACTCTCTAGTAACTCAGATCAAATCTGCAATTTGTTGACCGAACGACATAAAGTTCTTAATTTTTGAAACAAATATTGGCAGCGGCTCAGGATCAGAAAAATCTTGAAGCTGCGGAGTCTTGTGAGATAAGTTGTTTTCTAGAATTGAGGTTTTGCTTTCTGATATGTTTGGTGCAGTTGGCTTTGAATGAGTGGCATTAGATTTGCTCCGAGTTCTCGGTGGAGATTTATCTTGTTCTGCTTGCTTATGTGATTTTTTTTTTTTTTTTATTAGGTGAGTTTTGTCCCGATCCGGGAACTGAGTTTTGGAGACGCTTTTGGAGTGTACGCCTTTTCTAATATCGCGAGTCGATCTCTGATTTCTGAAAATGGTGTCTCGTCTTCCATTCTTCACAGGATGTATTCTTATCCAGATCCATGATAAGTGTTAAAGAAAATTAAAGAAAAAAAATATATATATATATATAAACCTAACTATTAAAATTAAAATTAATGAGATAACTTCTTAAAAGCTAAGCTATTTACAAAATTATTTACATAAATATATACAGGTATAAAATAAACTATAAAATAATTTATTTCCAAAAAATAAATAATCAAAGAAAAGAATGAAATAAAACAGTCTCTGGAAAGAAAAAAAAAATAAAATGAAAAAAAAAGTGAAATTAAATGTCTTGAATTCGAACTGATAATAACACTGAAGAATGTTATTGTACACAGTGCCAAGCTTTGGCCGTGAACTTATTGCAGATAAGGTAAAACCCGCAAGGAAATTACAAGCCACATGGGCTAACCAAACGAGGACTAATTTATAACTGTTTCATTGTTAATAAATAGTCTCTCACCTGATCATATGTGAATATAAAAATGTAAAACTATTAATATAGTCACTGTTGAAAAAGTCTTACAGCAGTATTTTAAATAATAAGCACATTAGATAGTAACAAAGACAGAGCGACGTGTTAGTTGAATTGCACTAGTGGCCATGACACTAGCTACATTGAATTCCATTTAATAATTAAAATTACCCCCATACCAGACTGAAACGACTAGAAACCGCCCGACGTTTTCGACTACTGCAGCACTTACTAGACAAACGATCTAAGCTTTCAATCAATTATAAACGACTCGTATATATGACAATAATAAGACCTATTTGGACTTACGGAATTGAGCTTTGGGGCTCCACTAAACCATCGAATTCCTCTCGTATCCAATCCTTACAATCCAAAATCCTTCGTAAAATCCTCAACGCTCCTTACTTTGTCACAAATAAAATCATCCATAAAGACCTTAATGTTCCATATGTTTCCGATCTGGCCCAATCCAGATACCTTTCCTTCCATAACAAACTGCAGAATCATCCGAATCCTCTCGTTTCAAACCTTGCTTCCTCCTCGATCCCTGAGAATCCTCCGAGGCGTCTGAAAAGAAGATGGCCTCGGGATCTTCTAATATAGAACTTTAATTTGAGTTCTACCAATGGGTAGTTTCTCTTCATGTTGTACATGCCATGTTACAAATTTCTCATTTACTTATTGTATTCTCTATGTAATACAGTTGTAAATTCCATTGAAATAATAAAAAAAATAAAAAATAAAAAAAAAATAAAATAATTAAAATTAATATAAATAATTTTTAACAATATAATGGCTGCAAATTTATTATTTACTGATTTACATGATTGAAGGCACCATATGGAGTGGGAGTTAGATTATTACAATATTGCTATGGGGTTATAAAATTTTAGGTTTTATTAAAAAAATTAATTGACACTGTATTGTTTGGTCGATTCCAAACGTTACTGGCATGACACTTAATGCCATTACTTAAATTTTGTGTAATTTTCAATACATTTAAAGTAATGTATACGCAGAGTTTGTAAAAAAAATGTCTTATTTGTGATTGTGTTTATTTCCATTGAAGTTCAACCAGTTCGTCTTGGTCTCAATTTCCTCCTTTAATATCGAAGCTATGTGAACTTCATCCATATTTTTATATTTTCTAGCTTAAAGCGTTTTGTTCTGACTGAAGGAAAGTATTGTTCTCGTTAACTCCGAACAAACAACAAGTTGAATTTTTCCTATTGATTATCTAGTTTCATCCATTTTACAAGTGAAATTTCAACTTTTATTCTATTTGTGCTAAAGGTGACATTTTGTAGTCTACAACTGATATAAATAGTCTGCTACTATGGAAAATAGCAGATAACAATAAAATATGAAATTATACTAATAAAGCATAAAGAAATAATTAGTTTTTATGTACTCTTGCTAAACAATCAATTTACTTACGATCTTTTGCACTAACAGCAGTGAAATACATGTTCAGTATGTATTTTATTTATTTATTTTTTTTAATTAAGGATAATCAAATATGGAATCTTCAAATACGGCACTCTTTTGCATTTTAATATTAGCTGATAAATGAAATTCGTGGATATCAAACCTGAGAATGTTGAAGGGTAACTGTATTTCCGAATCGGCTTCTCCCAGAGATTTTATTCTCATATGAAAAATTGTATACCTTGTAATATTTTAATATTTTAGCCAATGAAAACGGTGACTATACGGAAACTATACTGTCTTTGCTTGGCAGACTTTTTTTTTTTTTAATATTATTATTATTATCTCAGAATGATTTTTTTGTGTATTAGATGATGGGTAGATTTTTTTCTGGTCTGGCTCAGTGTGGAGCTTGGTGCTGCTTTGATGAATTTAATCGAATTGATATCGAGGTTCTGTCTGTCATAGCTCAACAATTAATAACTATACGAAATGCTAAAGCAGCTAAGCAGAGTAGGTAAGCATGGATTCACCAGCTAATTTTGTAAATCAAATTATGTGTTACTAATCTATCTATAGGTTTATGTTTGAGGGCCGTGAGATCAAACTCATTCCACAATGTGCCACATTTATAACTATGAACCCAGGTTACGCTGGAAGAACGGAACTTCCTGATAATTTAAAATCTGTTTTTCGTCCTTTTGCCATGATGGTTCCCGACTATGGTCTTATTGCTGAAGTGAGCCTTTATTCAGAAGGGTTCGAATCATCTAAAGGATTAGCTCAAAAGATGGTTAATATGTATAAGCTCTGCAGTGAACAGTTGTCTCAACAAGATCATTATGATTTTGGAATGAGGTAAGAATGATTTTTTTTAATTCACTCCACAGTACATTCCACTAATGTGTTAAAGTAAATATTCAAGTTTATTTTATCCCTAGGTATGGATAGGTTAGAAATACATACTTATTTCTGTAGTTAATTTTATTTATACTTATTTTTTTATTTTTATTTTTTTTTTTTACTTATTTGAGATCTCTAGTAACTCCAATAAACGATGTCTCTACTGAGATAAGGAAAAGGCTGGTGGCAGCAAATAGGACATATTTTGCTTTACTGAAAACTCTCCGCAGCAGATCCATTACCAGGGGCACTAAACTGGTCTTATACAAGACTCTTATACGCCCAGTTCTTACCTATGCTTCTCAATCCTGGACCATCTCAAGAAGTGATGAAAATAATCTTTTGATTTTCGAAAGAAAAATCTTAAGGCGAATAGTTGAGTAGCCCAGTGAGAGATGGAGGATTAGGAGGAACAGAGAGCTTTATGACCTTTACGGAGATATGGACATTGTAAAGTTTATAAAACTGGGGAGGCTCAGTTGGGCTGTTCATGTCGCAAGGATGAAAGCTGAAGAAATTCCTAGAAAAGTAGTGGACACCGTCTTTCACGGTACACGACGGTACACATAATAAAATTAATTGCAATATAATTATAGAATAGAATAGAAAATTAAACTTTATTCTGGGACTAAGTCCCTTTAGAATAACAATGATGAGTTAATACAAAGTAAAGTACAAATCTGGCCAAAAACTAACTTCTAAAAATTTTAATATTATATACATTATTTAAAAAGTATGTAACCAGTAAAAAATAAAAAATAAAATATATATACAAATGAACATAAAATCTTCTCAAAATTACTTAATTGTGATGAAAAAAAAAAAGAAGAGAAATTACATATTTATATATACATAACTACACAATTTATAAACAATAGGCTATCTAATAGAAAACTAACTTAATACAAAATGAAGTAATATCTACAGTGGTTTATATAATAACATGCAGACACTAAGATAAAATAAAGTCTTACGATACTTGTGGTGTAATGGAAAAAAAAAATAACTAAAAGGAACTATTTATACTGTAATGTCAACATTACATGGTATATAAATAGTGGCGCGAAAGTGGCAAGAACAGGGAGGAAGTGGGGGAAGCAAGCCTCATGTAACTCAGACTGCGACGGGCCGCCAAGAGGGAAGGTGCTAGCGGCCAAGAGAGAAGATTATGAGCCGCCAAGAGAAAATGTGACAAGCTGTCAAGAGAGAAGGTACTAGCCAGCAAGTTGAGAAAATAGAAAGAGCCACAAAGTTTAGACTGGGACAATCAAGGTTTTTGAAAACAATATGTATAATTTCTTAATATATGTACCTAGTTTCTTTATATGTATTTAGTAATTGGTAAATTATAGTTATTAAATGTTGAATGAGTGTTCAGTTGTCAGAACCCAACCTGAAAATTGATGTTATGTGTTAAAATAAATAATATATTGAAAAAGGAAACTCGTTTGTTTGATTTATGTTGACAAAGGGAACGTAACAACATGGCGCCCAACGAGCGTGGCTTTTGGGTACGTTACAATATGGCGTCCAACTAGCGTGATTTTTAAAAACGTACCTAGTCACGACAACTGATCACGCAATCTTTGTTAATTTTAATTTTTTTTTGTTAATATTTTTTAGTAATATGGAGAATAAGCAGAGAGAGAGAGAGATAATAGAAGTTAAAAATCTTAATAATATAATTCTTAGAAAATGTAATGGAAATGTTGTTAGTGTAGAAAATAAGGAAGAGTCAGTTGTACAAAGCCTACTTGATGAAAATAGACAGTGTGAAAACGGAAGTGAAAGTCTGTTGGGATTAAATGAAATAAATAAATGAGTTTAGTGAAAATAATATGGAGGGTGAAAAAATAGATATAAGTAGTAGCAACAATTTGAGTTGTGCTGATGTGTGTGGTATGTTGCAACAAGTAATAACTATTCTTCGTCATATTGAAAACAAGCAAACCCAAATGATTGCAAATATGACTGAAGTCCAAGAAACTACACTGGATGAAAAAAGTTCTAATAATGAACAGGAAATTTTGAAACAAGATTGTGATAACCTAGAAACCCAAATTATTGCAAATATAACTGAAGTTCAAGAAACTAAACTGGCTGAGAAAACTACTTTTGGTCACTCAGAAAGTGATGAGAAGCAAATTGTTTCTGAAGAGCTTAGCAAAAGTAATTCTTCAATTGATATTGAATCAGAAAATCTCTTAAGAAAAGATGAAGAAATCCTTGAAGAAAAATTAGTGACAACAGAATTTCTAGTAGAAACTCATACAGTTAATCTTATAGATATTAAGAAAAAACTTCTCAAGTTTCAAATTGAGTTCATAGGAGTAAAATCCAGCAGAGAAAAGCATGGTAATTATTTTATTTCAGAAGTTCCTTTAATTCCAGAAAAGTTAACTCTACGATTTAAAGATGAGTTAGGAAAGTTTGATGACTGGAGTAAGAAAAGAACAGGATTATATGAAGTGTCGTTACATGGACTCACTAAGTATAATTTTGAGTGTAATGGATTACCAGTCATCCTACTTATTCTAGAATATGAGTTTTATGGGGGTTATATGATTCTGGATCATGTTAGGGCAGGTCGCTCATTATGTTATAGTGAGACACGGTAGTCTTTATCCTATCCAGAGGATAAAAAAGGGTTTTAAATTAGCGTCCCTTCCGTTGACGAGCTAGAGGGTCCTGGCGAAACCATCGTCAGGTTACCCATTCTGGATACTTGTAAATAATTAACTTGTAAATATATTGTAAATAGTCTAATTACATTGTTGGTAGATAGGATAATAGATTAATATCTAAAAGTTTAATAAGTTGTTTTGGCCGGATATTGCTAGGTAAAATCCAAGTTTTAGAAGAAAGTTAGAAATTGTCTTAATTAATTAGTGTCTTCTCTCTGATTATTCCTGTAATACAAGTTAAAATATATTTTTGAATGTTATATAAGTAATTTAAACAGTTATTTTGTAAGTTAACTATACATAAGATATGGGAATTGTACGGTAAAATTCTTTTGGTAAATAATGTATTCAGCTTATTTTATTATTTGTATATCAATCTACTTTTCCTGTACATAAATTAGATGAACAAGTTATGTAATTTTTGTATGTAGATTAAGGTAATATAGTGTAAATAATTCAATAATTTTGTATATAAAATTGTAAATGTTTGATAACCAGGTTGGGAAATCTATTGTAAAAAGTGTGAATGTCAAAAGTTAAATTTATTATTTTATATGAAAAAAAAAAAATGTAAATATTGCACCAAATTTTAAATTTCCATTTTTATTTTTTTTTAAACTGGAACGGAGGAGAAATGTAATGTTAACATTACATGGTATATAAATAGTGGCGCGAAAGTGGCAAGAGCATGAACTACAGGGAGGAAGTGGGGGAAGCAAGCCTCATGTAACTCTGACTGCGACGGGCCGCCAAGAGGGAAGGTGCTAGCGGCCAAGAGAGAAGATTATGAGCCGCTAAGAGAAAATGTGACAAGCTGTCAAGAGAGAAGGTACTAGCCAGCAAGTTGAGAAAATAGAGTGGGCGGGGTAGCCGAATGGGCTAAAGCGTGTGCACTGCACCGCCGTTGCCTGGCAACCTGACATATGAATACAAAGATATAAAAATAGTCACGAGTTCGCGTGCCGGTGCCGGGGGAGTCTTTTAAATCCCCGCCCACACTCCCTGGCCCGGGAAAATCCCGTATAGCCTTAACGGCGAGGAAGGGAAGGACCCAAAAAAAAAAAAAAAAAAAAAAAAAAAAAAAAAGTTGAGAAAATAGAATTTTTATGGGGAAAAATTCCCGAGACGTCGGGGCCTACACCACTAGTTCTTGAAGATCTTCGGCCATTGTTCTCTACAGTCGCTAGGAACGGCTTCTCCAAGAATTGGGTCCTGGAAGTCCACCCAATGGTCAGGTTTGCGCTACTAGAAGTAGGAATCTTGGATGGAGGATGGTGGTCGATGACCTTCAGGGATTACATTGACGCCCCACGTTGCTCTAAATGTCAGGGCTATGGCCACACAAAGGCCACTTGCCAAGCTGACAATGTCATCTGCATCTGGTGTGCAGCAAGCGGACATATACTGAAGGACTGTCCAAAAAAAAAACAACAGGTTGGGCCAACGTGTATTAACTGCGTGCGAGCGAATGCATCTCCCAACCAAAGGAATCACAAGGCGGGCAGTCGGGACTGCCAAGTACACTTACAGTGGGCCGATGAAGTAGTGAAAAAGACCTATTATGAGTAAAATAAACATTCTGCAGTTAAACATGGGCCGCCGGCGTATCGTGGCAGACGAACTCCGAGCCCATTCTGACCGATACGATATCATGGCGGTTCAGGAACCGACATGCCGTGGGAACATGGTCACAGGATTTGGCCTCACGTCGAGGGTTATAGCCCTGAGCAGTGGAGAGAGGAGGCCCAGGGCTGCTATCGTGGTTAATAACCCAAACCTCGATGTGATGGATCTGAGGCAGCATACTACGGCGGATTGCGTTGCATGTTACATCAGGTGGGGAAGTGTAGCTTTTACGCTGGTCTCCTCGTACCTACCTGATGGAAGCGATATTGAAGAAGGTATATCCGCCATGGAGACGGTCTCAGCTTGCACAAGAAACGTCATTATATGCTCAGATACAAATTCCTGGAACACGGTCTGGGGATCCAATCGAACGAATAGAAGAGGCGCTAAACTGGATGATTTTATCGCGAGATGCCAGCTTGTAGTACTAAACGATCCTTCTGCCACACCTACCTTCTCAGGAGGAAGAGGGCAGAGTTGGATAGATGTCACGATGGCTTCGCCTGCACTGTCAAATCGCCTTATCGATTGGACCCTCAGATCTGAGACGAGTTCCGACCACCATGCTATAGTATTTTCAATGGTACAAAACATGGTAAGTTCCCACGGTATAAATAAGGGTTACAGAACTCGGAAAGGAGATTG